CGCCTAGACATATGACCGAGGTGAGTGACGTTGTTTCCTAGTCTGAAATCAGAAGTATTGACTATTGGAACAGTTCATCGGTCTTGATCTGGAAATGGAAATCGAGGATCACTACCATGAGGTTCTCCACATGCTTGAAGGAGTCCTTCTCTATATTTTCCGTGGCCTGGAGGAGCGCTGCAAGGATGAGATTGCCCTCGTCAGGACTGTCTATCCATCCGAACCTTTCGCGCTTCCGGAGGCCGGCAAGGAGGTGCGCATGACCTTTGCGGAGGGGCAGAAGCTGCTGCGAGAGGAGGGACCCGAAGAGTACCGCAATGTGTCCGATGACGAGGATATGAGCACGGCACAGGAGAAGGCACTTGGTGCTCTGATCCGCAAGAAGTTCGGCACCGACTTCTACGTCCTTGACAAATTCCCCTCTGACGCGAGACCATTCTACGCCAAGGAGGACCCTGAGAACCCGAACGTGACCAACGCGTACGATTTCTTTATGCGTGGCCAGGAGATCTTATCCGGTGGCCAACGTATCAACATGCCAACTGAGCTAGAGGCCAGGATGAGGAAGAAGGGGGTCGATCCCAACGCTCAGGGGCTGAAGCAGTATGTTGATGTTTTCAGGCAGGGAGGTTGCCCGCCTCACGGTGGCGGCGGTATCGGTCTTGACCGTGTCGTCGCCTTCTTCTTGAACTTGCCGAACGTGCAGCTGGCATCATACTACCCCAGAACACCCAACAGGCTTACTCCTTAATGGGTTGGTCGAAGGCTATGTTTAGATCAGTGTTTATGTTCACATTCTCTGATAGATCGAATGAATCAAATGAGGTAAATTTACTTGTGAAAATTTATATTGGATATGATTAGCTCTGTCTATGGACCTGTTGATAAATTAAGATGCTTTTCTTGTAAAACTCCTATCAAATTCCCCCTGTCTTGCCTTAGTAGACTTAAGTAGCGCACGGACCAGTTCATTGCCAGCCGGAAGGAATGATCTGTATTTCGTGCTATAATTTTCTAGGCAGAGACGCCAACTTTAGCTTGCCCAACACCACAGCCGTGTGTTTCGACAACCACTTTTGGGTCATGTATGATCATGACTTCAAAGCGGAATCTTGACGATGCGGCTGGCTCAGACCAAGAGGATCCATCAGCATTCCCTTCGACTAAGCGACAGCGCAACCAGCGCAGCCAGCCAACCTCAAACAACAAGTCAAGGTCGCAGCAGCCGGCAACCGACCTCACATACGGCCAGAGATGCGTTTTCCCAGGAATAGGTGACTCGCTCATCCACAGTGACGATGACATCGACTATGAGGATGAGCAGGACGCCTTGGCGTACCTCCAGTCTGTTCGGTAAGCATTACCCCCATTCCACTGCCTTCCACAATCACAAATTTTTGCTAAAACGCGCCGCTTCCTCTCTGAACAGAATGTGTAAGTACTGATATGGTGAGTATCATAGACAACAAGCTAGCGGGATCCCACACCTCCTCGTTGCACCGAAAGCTGGCCCGCAGCTCCCTCCAAGCTCTGGATTAAACTACGATGGATCAGCTCCATTAATGGACAGGAGTATCTACGACAGTGGCAGAGGCGACTCGAGGGGCTACTACTACGATGGTGCCTACACGGCCGCGCCCGATTCAGAAGAAGCCTCAGACGACGATGACTATGAAACAGGCGAACCGCCCGAGAACGGAGCCTCCGCTTACTCAGACTCACCCGCGCACATTCAGAAGGCCTACTCCGCCTCCCTCGTCGCGCAGTTCACATCCCTCCGCTCCGCGCTACACCAGGATCCGCCTCCCGAGGCGCTGGCCGCCCTACCGCGCGACCACGGCTTCGAGGTCGGCCGCTTCGGGTCCGGGTCCAAGACGTTCAAGATCTGGGAGATCCGCCTGCGACACACAGACCCGCTGCCGGCGCAGGTCGCCGCCATGGATAAGCCGAGCGTGCTAAAGCTGCTGCGCATCATTCTCGGCGGCAAGTTCCTGCGCCGGGGATGCGAATTGCGTGAACGCACGAGTCGCTGGCTCTGGGCACTGCTGGCGCGCCTACCGGACCGCGGCGAGATGGATTTCATGGAGGTGGGCTATGTGCGCGAGTTGGGCAAGCGGGCTGTTCTTCTACTAGCGACACTTGAGGAGATGGCTGCGCTGAGAAGGGAGGTCGAGCTAGAAGAGGGCCAGCAAGAAGAGGAGGACGATGACTTGGAAGAGGGAGTATACATCGATGAGGACGGCACTCCGCAAGACGAGATTGAAGACACTGGCGATTTTGCGCCTCGTTTGCCCCCTTCTAATGGGCAGGATCCTATAATCGAAGTCGCCGACAAGGGCATTGCAGAGGACGAAGAGATGGAGGATGGAGAGGTGCCCGACGAAGGTGAAGTAAGCGCTACAGATTTGGAAGCTGATATCGCGGCTGCAAAGGCACGCCTCCTCGGAGATATCGAGCAGATCGATAGCCCAGAAGTTGAAACCGGGCCATCCAGAAAAGGTGAGGATGACGAGGAGGCGTTCGATGAGACGAGGGCTCGCATCAACATGCGGGCGACGTTGAACATGATACTGACAGTCGCCGGTGAGTTCTATGGTCAGCGAGACCTGCTCGAATTCCGGGCCCCTTTCAATGGGCTGTAGGCCAGAATGATACCCCCTTTTACAATGACTAGCATAGACGGGACATGGGAAGGTAGTTTAACCTGGGCGTGCGTTTCCGTAATTGGACACATTCTTGCTTGAGGCTTTCTGAGATATTACTACTTGTGCCTGCCAGCTCCGAATATCCTGCAACATTGTGAGAATCCTATGTGACCCTCGCCCCTCCTTCCTTGGTATCGTCCTCCAAGACTGTCCTCAACCCGAGGTATGTCCTTTGCCCCTAAGCTTCAAGTTTACATGCCCTGGTGATGTACAACCGATCTTCCACCTGATCTTAGTGGATAGCCACTCCTCAAACGCCGTGCTTGATGCTGTTACAATGTAAAAAATTCAAATGCAGTCGAGGCTGTCAACACCACGCAGCCCATCCAAAGAAACAATCCAGGAATAACACAATCTGAAATAAGTAGACGCATGTACAATGCTCATGCTTCACTCATATCCATATCTCCTCCCCATACTTGGTAGTCGAGAAATTCGGCGTCGTCGAAGTCATCCAGCGCCATGTTCTCCTGCCCTAGGCTCGCAAGAGGCACCGCTCCGGTACCAGCAACAGCTCCGCCGTTCTTACGCCCGGATCGCCGTCGCGGCATGGCCATCACGCGTGCATTCTCCCAACCCACCGGCGCGAGGCTTCGTGGACTAACCTCGCCATCTAACCAGTCGTTGCGGAACACCTGGAGCCGGTCCGACACAGCAGGCATGTCGCTGGCATCGTCCTCGGCGAAAACACGTTTCCGGTTCGTCGCAGACGGGCCACTCGTAGCCATGGCCATTGGCCCGGGGAGCGATGCATTGCTCTCTACTGACTCCTGGCTGCTCGTGAGCGAGGGGAGGTCATCCATGGCCGGCGTGGTGAAGACATTGTCCGGCAGCGGGGGCAGGTCAAAGGCCGGCTGGCTCGCGAGGCCGCCGACCTTGTTGATGCCGCAGAAGGGCAGAAGTTCTCTCCTCGTCTCTAGCCGCGCAGCAGGAACAGCAGGGACCGGCCGGTTGGTGACATCGGAGTCGGCCCAGAGCGAGAAGCCGCTGAAGTCGGTGCCGGTTTTGTAGCCCTCGGGCACAGACTTGCGGATTCGCATGCCAACACTTAGAAGGTTTGACTGGACATTGGCAGGGAGAGCGGGAGCTCTGATAGTGGGATATGACGATGACGTTGAGGCCGGGCCCTGGTTGAAGAAGGAGGTGATCTGCCTCTGTGCAGGGTCGCTGGCCGCGCCCGCAAATTGACGCTTGGCTCGAGGTCCGGACATGCTGCTATTACAGTGATTGTACAGTAGGTGAAAGACAGTAATAAAATCGAAGCTCTGGTCCGAGTTGGAAATCTTATCGGGAGTGGACAGTGTGCTGTGCTCGGTTATGCAAAGGATCGCTGTGCATAGATGTCTTGTAGATAGAAGGCTGACGATGCCGTCCGGGGTCACAGACGGCAGGAAAGAATTGGAAAAATCAAAGTCGCAGAGAGTGGGGATTGGTCTGAGTCGGCAGAGCCGGAAAAAGATGGGCGAGATGCCAATATTGAAAAGGCCGCGTGTTGAGGATGTCTTGCGTCAGAGCATGGCAGGTTGTGGAAGCAGAGAGCATCAAGGAATGGGCATGATCAGAGGAGGAGGCTGGGGGTCCTTGATTGATTTGGCTCCAGATTGATTGGGCTGAGACAAGCAGGAAAAAAGGTGGTGGGGTTGCACAACGCGCGCCTACTAAAAGCACTCGCGTTTTTTGGCGTTGCGTGTTTGAGTGGTGCCTTTTATTCCCGTTGTTCTCGGCTTTCTTCAATATTACTTTGACAGACCAGCCTTACTAAGACAAAGTGACTGGTCATAGACTTCCTGACCTTGTGACAGTCAAAAGCAACATGACTGCATAGTCCACAGAGAGCATTGAAATCCTGTCAAAAGCACGGCATTCAAAGTCATATTTGGCGAGCAGGCCTTGCTGCCTCCTTTCACAGCCGCTCTCAGGAACTTCAACACATTCTCCAGCTTCCTAGATATACAAGTGTCGCTAATATAATGTAACTGATCGAGCGTATACTCCAACAGACCTGGTTCTTATAGATTTGCTTGACATGACACAATATTGATCGAGAGGCGTGTCTCAAATGGCAGCATACCATGCATATGCTGAATAGAAGGGGTCATGTCATACCATGGTAGCTCCTTGGGCTGTCTGTAGTCATTCGCTCTCGGAAGTGTTGTTTCATTCTAACGATAATGCAGAGTATATGATATGATGCCGAAAAGCACCATTTTATATCGTATTATAGATAACCCACCTCGACAACAAGTAATGCTCAGGCGATTGTAATGCATAATCTGGTCCATTAATTTGTTTTTTTGTTTTCATGATCGGAGTGATGGTTGTCGTCTTGAAGCTGTTTAGGTAGGACCGCCTAGGCGAGAAAGGGAAGTGATCTCAACGGAGCTATTGCATAACCTGTAATTTTGAGATGCAAAAAATCTGCAACGGTGACCTTCGGTCGTGAGGGAGTGTGCTGGCTTCACATTGCAAAAGAAGTGCCCAGAGCATTAACTCAATTAGAGGAGCGCCTCATGCAAATCAGCATCAGTTTGCGGTGGTCCTTCGCAGGTACTGGACTGTGAAGGCAGACACAGAATCTATCGGAAGAGACCTGTTTGTCAATGCATATGTTTTTGATGGCAGGGGAACTGAGCACTAATTCAGGCAGGGATTTGGGGTTTGAGTAATGCCCCTAGGTCACGACCCGGTCACCTCATGTCAGTTTCCTCGTGAGAAAAAACAGCGACATGACATATAGTCGAGCTCCTTAGAGATATCCCATTCACCCATGCAAGTGTAGCACATATCGGCTGTTCTGAGCAAGCGAGCCATGTTGGTCTTTCGGAGGTATCGTAGTCAGCGGGAACAAGTTTTGTAAATTGTTCAGAGTGCGCAATGCATATTCCGGGACTCCTCTAACAAATCAAGGTCCGTCCGAATGGTTGCCGTCGTAGGGCAGAATCTTCCCATGCTCTGTCCCGAAGAACCGATCCGCATTCCATCATGCCAAATCCCATTTTCATTTCCCCTTCGTTCTTCACACCTTATCTCAGACGTCTAGCCTCACGCTCAGACTCGAGCAGGCACAGAATGTCGTCCTCACGAACTGTGAACCACTTGTTAGCATTTCCGAACCCTTCCTCGTAGCTATTTCATTATAGATTCGTACCTGGGCCCTTGACGTTTCGGATGATCGATCGGGTCTGGTCGTCCATGAACTCGACGCGAACCTGGGTGACACCACCACGAGAGCCTACTCCCAATTAGCCATCTGTCTTGTTGCTGCCAATAAAGTGCACCCCCAGAATCATCGTCCAGCGAGGTCTCGAGTGGGGGGAAGAGGAAGAACTCGTACCGGTACGGCCAAGGACACGGGTGACCTTGACGAGCTTGACGGGAGCCTTGGAAGAATCCATCTTGACTGTATGGTTCTCTGATTGTCTTTGCGACTGATCGAGGAGAGGATACGGTATGTGGTCGGTGAGGCGCGGGGAGGCGGTCGTCAAGATGCCGTTTTGGTGGTTGAACTTTTTCGCGATCTCTCAGGGTTTTTCGTTGTGGAAACCCTCTGCACCACCACAGCGGAAAAACTTCTCGGATTAACTCCACCACTTAGCATGGTACATAGTAACATTCACTACGCCCCCACTCTTTTGTCCTCTTCCTTACAGCTTCTCTCAGTGTTTTCCATCCTTGATTCATAGCTTTTCAATTTCTCTAATGAATATGTTATTTGCACCAAGGCTATTGCAATTTAGCAGCATCACATAGTATGGTTCAAGAACATGAAAAATTCAAGTGTTTGTCTCACCCACCTTCACCCTTTCTAGGTGGCCATCCATAGGCCTTCTAATCACAGTCTGAATCTACAAGCACCACTTGACTCTGGAGTTATGTTATTGGAGACAACGAGGTCACACTTATCGAGATGGCAATCTCTACAAAGTTCGATCCAGAAAGTAGTGTCCCTTATACATCCCTATCTATGATGGACATAGTTCAAACTTCGTGAAACTATTCTATCCGGGTCTACCATTGAGAACCTCCATGACTTGTCGTAGAGAGTCAAAGATATGGCTCTAGAAGGGTCGCCTGGAATTTGGGCTTCGGTGCGCAGCTGACCCCGTGCTCTTGACACCCATGCCGGCAATATCGGTTGTAGCGATGCCTTGAATCGGCTACGCCAGGAACTGCAGAACAGAATCCCCTCCGAATCATCAAGTTATTAAAGGCTGGTGACCAAATCTCAACCAGCCTCGCTGGACCGGAGCCGTCGGTTCTGCTTGCGCCAAGTTTTGTATCTCCGCATACTTACCAATTGTTGAATCGATCAGTCCCAGTCATCGTCATCGTCGTCTTTGTTAGACTTTACACTGCTCTTGATGCCTTTGCTCATAGCCCGTTCCTCTTCGGCATCCTCGGCTGCCCTTCGCCTCTTGAGAACCCTCATGTCTGTGTCGGGGACCGCCCCAACTTCCACTAAGATCTTGTCCAAGTCAAGCATGCTCATACGTACGCCTCCAACCGTGACCAGTGTGACCACTTGCTTGACAATATCCCCATTCTTATAGACCAGGATCGTCGGGCAATTGCGCTCTGGGTAGCCCTCGATAGCCTGATCTGCCCTCATTTCACAGAACTTGATGTCCCCGTACTCCTTTGCAGCTTGTTTCCAAAGTTGTGACAGAACTCGCGATTCAACGTTTGTGCCAGACGGCGATGTTAGGTTGACGAACACTGGACCATTGTTGGAAGCCTCAGTAACCTCTCTCGAGTAGTCCGGCTTCGACAGTGGGTAGACATCGCCGTGTATAGACTTCTTTGTTAATGCGTTCAGCTCCCTCATCCGCTTCTGGCGATATTGCTCCAGAAAGTCCTCGTCCTCGTCATCCTCTAATTCGTCAAGCTCATCAAGGTCCTTGCCCTCGAGCCTGTTCTCGTGTGCTAATCTTCGGCCTTCGAGAATCGCCTCTTCGATCATAGGAGTTGGGCTGGGTGGTTTCTCGGGGATGACACCATGTTTCCTCAGGATTTCGTTCCTGGGTTACGGATCAGCGTGTTGGTCAGGCATTCCGCGACAGTTTCACATACCATTCTGTATCAGCATTGGGGTCATCAATAGGAACAGCTATACGCTGATCTGTAGGAGCTGCCATCTTTGTTGTAATTGCTTAATATGAAGCGACTGCTTGAACAAAGTCAGAAAGCTGAAGGGCTCTAAGGGTGCATGTCCTGCGTTAAGCAGGTGCCTGAAGCTGACGCAGTATGCTTCCCATAGTGATTCAACCCCACTAAGAGCTTCTGCATGTAAGTACCTGTAGGTCGACCCTGGAGCTGGTGGGGGTGAGTGCTTCTCTCTAGGAGTGGGGCACCCGGTGCTAGATTATCCGAATTTTTTCTCCAGAGCGCCACCCCCCAATCGAGGCAGGTCGATTCTTATCACGTGCTCGCTGTTGCCTCTACGGCGAAATTATTAGGGTTGCGACTGCCCTAAACGCCAGTCGTCTCTGGCTAAGGCGAACTTTTTCTCCTCCTTTGCGAGACCTCCGTCCCTCCCACCTCAAGCATCGACCACGAGCCTTCAACCACCCTTGACGTCCGCAGATCTTGTCAATCTTCCTCTCATCGACATCATCTCGAGCATCCAGAGAATTTCTCAATCAATCAGTCAAGATGGTAAGCCGATTCTGACATTTTACTGTTGTTCCGTGCGAGTGGATTCCGCCGAAGAAAGTCTCGACAATGTGCCTAGACGACGAGGTTGCCAGATTCAAACCTCGACTCGAAGACCGATAAACTCACCGGGATTTCAAACACCACACATGTGATCGCCGCCATTGTGCTTATGGATGGGTATTTGATGAGTGTGGGGTGGCTTTGTCGACCATGGTCGGTGCACGAGCAACGATGAGATGGGAAGGCGGTCAAGACAGCCGCTGCTGTTCGCCGCTCCTTCTCAACTACATCTGCAGTGCTATCGACCATTTCAATGACGGTGTAGGCTTTGGATCGAAGATTGCCTCAACTGGATTAGTCCCGGCTATCTTGATGGTCGTTCATCGGCGCTTCAAGACGAGAATTTTTCTAGACAGTCTTCAGCGCTGCCTTGGATAGAATCCATACAACCGTTCTCAGACAAATGAGAAACAAGCCGGCAAAATGGGCATGAGGTCACTTGGACGGCTCGTATTGAAGCTAGCACGGGATTGTCCTGCATGCATCTGTGTACATTTGGCAAGCGCAGTCAGTGCTACAGTACGAGTTCAGAGACGACCCGAGGACGCACTGGCACCTCTCAACGACTTTCTTTGGCGGATTTACCGGGCTATTCTAGGAAACTCGAATGGGTTATATTCCAGATATGCTAACATGATTTGTCTAGGTTCTCGCCGTTGATCTGCTGAACCCCAGCCCTGCTGCTGAGGCCAAGAAGCACAAGCTCAAGGTATGTTGTTCAACCTACAATGTCTTCGCTAGCACGACCACTAACGCTCGCATAGACCCTTGTGCCCGCTCCCCGATCATTCTTCATGGACGTCAAGTGCCCCGGCTGCTTCACCATCACCACTGTCTTCTCCCACGCCCAGACTGTCGTCATCTGCCAAGGATGCACCACTGTTCTCTGCCAGCCGACTGGTGGTAAGGCAAGACTGACTGAGGGCTGCTCTTTCCGAAGGAAGTAGACGATTCGCGTCGACTTCCTTTCCTAGCGGCTGTTCTCATGACGTTTGGATGGGTATATCTCGGATATCTGCAAGGCATTACGATATGGGCGGATAGACAAATCGTTCTTGACCAACCTCATTGCGGATAGAAGATGGATTACCTAAAAAATCACCTCACAAAAAGGGGCGTTTGGGGTCCGGATATCTTGCATCAACGACTTTCCTTTTTTCACGCAGCTTCTTCGTCCTTAGTGTACCAAATGGATCTCGTACAGGCAGGTAATACTGCATGGGTGGATAGCCGGAAATGGCATTTTCACATGAGCATCTAGATGGCTTGTTTGTCTGGCAGGCAGCTAGATGTGAGGACGTGGACAGCTAGTTGATGATCGCTACATACCCGAGTGCAGTGTGGTTGATGAGTGGAGGGACACTGCTTTCGCGATTACAATAAAATGCGTTCACCGACAAAGTATGATAGCCGTGCCTTGTGTCTGTGATATGATGGTCTATGTTACTCCCAATTCCCGTCAAACGGATAACCCCGTCTGGGTCTGGTCTCTTTGCCCCCGTCTCCTGCATTCCATGACGCAATGGCAGTATCCCAATATCCTAATATCCCTAGAGCTTTATTTCCGTCGCCTGCGTCTATGTCCTGCAACCCACCACAGACTAAACCATTAAGACGCTTTAATCCCAGTGGGAAGCACCATTCTGCTCTACCATCGGTACTATTACATCTTAGGTTAGCATATGGATTGCCAATGCAACGTTTGATAGATATGGACTCACCCTAAACTCCAAGTTCTCCTTGTCTGTCAAGTCGAAGAACTCGCTATTCTCTCTATGTTCTACCCCTTCCATGAGCTTGTCTCGCCTTTTGTTCTCCCACACGTAGTACGCCATCAGGATGCCTGTCACACAGCAAGCAAAGGTCGTCGTTACAACAATCGTGATCTTGGCTGGAAGGTAATCTGGCTTGTCCGCGTCACGGAAGGTCAACGGCCCAATGATATTACCAAGACCTTACATTGATGTCAGTATTGATCGTGACCGGGGAAAGGGAGGGGCATCTCACAAAAAGACATGAGGAGAATAGCATTCATCGTGACTTTCTTCGTGTGACCCGCAAAATTGGCTCCTGCATACGAGTATAATATGGGTAAAGAAGAGCCGATACAGTTGGTGAGGTAGTTGCCTGTCAGCTTAGCCGCTTTGTTATCTCCTGGTGCGAAGGCCAAGAGGCACCCTCCAAGCACACCTCCTATGAGACAAAACATGATCACGAAAGGCCCGCGCTGATTGAAGTGCCCTGCAAGCCATGTCGAGCTAATGACCGAGATACAAGCCACAACACCAGATGGTATCGACAACAGAGCCGTCTCCTTGGAGGTATACCCGAAACCCTTGATAATTGTCGCCTGAAAGGAACTTACTGCACCATTAGGGACATTCGAGGAGATGGTGATGAGACTGATCAACCATGTCTGAGGATCTTTGAAGCATTCCCAGACTTGATACGCCTTGAAGTGCTTATTCTCGACGCCGGTCTTGTTTTCGCGTAGACGTTCGATGGCCCATATCTTCTCATCGTGCGTGAGACTAGACTTCATAGGGTTGTCCGGCATGATCAGAATCACAAGAACGCCGACGACGATGGTAATGAGGCCAAAGACTAGAAACATAATCTGCCACGATGTGAAAGTCTTGCTTGTGTAGTGTTGAAATCCGAAGGATGACAGCGCCCCGATGATGCTTCCTGTTCCAGTCCCAACATACCAAAGCCCCATACGAGGAGGTTGTTCCTTTTGTTTATACCACTTTCATGATGTCAATATCGGAGTCATTCGTACAGGTCTTTGGCAGACTATTCGGCACTCACCATTGTCGTGAGAAGGATCAGCGCTGGCGCTACGGCAGACTCGAAGCAGCCAAGGAGCACTCGCAAGGAGACAAGGGCTGCCCAGTTCTTGGCGGCTGCCGTGAGAGCTACCATGAGGCCCCAGAGTGCCACATTCGCTCCGAGATATTTTGCTGTAGGCAGGCGTTGCATAAGATAGCCCGTAGGGAACTCGAAGGCTAGATATGTCACGTAGAAGACGAGAGCCAGCTGCGAGAATTGGTTGCCCGTGATACCAGTATCATCTTGAAGTCCCATGACATTGGCGTAGTTTACTGGATCAAGTCAGATATAACACAAGGATGAACTTCTGCTTGACGCCTACTTAATGTTTTGTCCAAGTATTGCAGGTTATAACACATCCACATCAGTGGCACAATCCGCCAGTCGATTTTGCGAACTAATTTCTTCTCATCGATCTCAGACATGATTGTCGTATCCTCATGATTCAGATAATCAAGCGCCGCGTCCACGTCGTGGGATTTTAAGGCTTGCTTTTCTGTATCCATATTGATATTCTTCTCCTCCGAGCTAGAAGGCTCATTAATCATTTCAGAAGACATTTCGCTAATAGTTAGACACAATAGTTATCAATCTTTCCTGTTTCAAATAATTGCGAGACACAAGATATCAACCTGATGAACAGCGGTCCCAGAAGGAAGGATCACATTCTGCTCATCTCGCCAGAGGGAACCAGATCTAATTGTACTATCCATACCGCTGGGACACCCACAATGCAATTGTGCAGTGATCGACATCGACCTTATCAGTACGGATCATTTCACGCCTACACTCAATCACTGCGACGAATAATGGACGACAGAACCAAAAACGGTATGCAGCCAGCCCACTTGCGGCAGGGGCCGATAGGAAGTCGACTGCCGACAAGTGGACGACGTCACCAAGCCATTGGTTACTCTGGAACTTGATGAGGAGCTGCCGCTTCTGGTTCAAGGGTGTTTCGATGGACCTGTGAGGGGCAGCAGTGGAGCATTGATATCTCGGAGATATCAAAATGTGGTCGCTTTGATAAGGTGATAGGCTACTATTTATGACAAAAGCTTTCACGGACCTTAAGACAATGAGCTTAGCATGTGATCTCTGCTCTGGAAACATGCCCAGTTAGACTATTGGCCAAGGAAAGAGAATGTTATTTGAGGTCAAGTTTCACCACGCATTTTGTACCAGAGAGCGCCAACAGCAGGTAATCTGTTCAACGTTGCACCATCCCAATTTGAACACAATCCACTGCTCTCAGACACTGTGTCTTGCGTATGTTGGATATATATCATTCTCAAAGACAAGGCTGTTGAGTCGGGAAGAGCTATCCTACGAGATTTAGATGCACAGATCAAACCTAGCCCTTAAGCATACTACGCAACTTGCGCAAGACGCTGTCTTTCCTGAAAGAACTCGCCAACATTTGGTGCACCTGTCGTGAATATCAGCTATAGGAAAAAGGTAGGAGAGCGTAGGAGCAGGTGCGATATTACCATCTTTCTCCACGATGATACCGCCTGGCTTGACAGGATTCATGGTCTGGATCGACAACTTTAGTATTTATACAGTAAAGACAATTCCAGTCGTCGAAACTCACTATGTCATGACTTGGCGTGCTGAAGTACGCTATGGTTTTCCTATTCCTTGGTAGTTCAGTTGTTGCGTTTTTGGGAAATATTACGCGATGGATATTGGCCTTGCAAAGACCATCCGTCATGCCTTCTAGTGTCAATCCAACGTTGACCTAGTCAAGTAAGTATATCGCTATCTCCACATGCATGCAGAAAGACGCACCAGAACGGTGTTAGGGATAATTGGTGCAGAGATCCACGTCCCTGAATCCAAGTCGACTTTGCCTTGTATGAGCTGAATACCCTTCTGCTTCTTTGTGGCTTCTAGAGGCAAGTATATCTGAAGGCCTGGTTGGCCGTTCTTTTCTTGAAACAACAGTGTCACATCGCCCCACTTGTCTATCCAGATTAGGGCGTTTTTCACTATAGAGAAAGTATTGGAGTTGTGAAACTCACGTCTGTTTATTTCGTTAGTCAAGAACAATCAAGACTTGATTAATTTTGCATTGTACGTACCTTTATGACTCCCAGCTCGGATATCGTCGCCGGCTGGCGGTTTATCTAATGCTGGATAATTCAGGAGTGCTAAACCATTAGAGCCTGCATCTTTGTGGGTTGATCGGAAGAAGTCTTTAGGCAGCTAGGTATTATGCACGATGTCAGTCGGTTCGAGTACAATATAGACATTGAATTAATTTGAACGCACGTCAAATGCCTGTGAGAGTATGTCAAGGACCCTTAGAGAAGCCTCAAAGCACTTATTGTCAAACTCAACGATCTCTTGTCTATATTGCTGGATTGAAGTCGGTAGAGCTTGATTTGTCTCGGTCTGCCCAGCAGCAGACTTATATCTTCCCCACACGAAACTCTCCTTGAGATCTGTCTTAGATGAAGCTCGCTCATCGAGAGATCCTTTCATGCCGAAGTACCCGTTTCCCGAGGCATCTTTCAGCGAGCCGGCTCGCTCTTCAGTTGGAACCGAGTGAATGAGTGCGGACAACTCAAACGCTCGATCGATATCATTTTGCGTAATGCCAGTGCCGTCGAGGTCTAAATGAATAAAGCCGATGGTCGATAGAGCATGTAAGACTTCTTCCGGAGTGGACTTAACGAGAGAGATGAGAGGGACCTCGGGTGCTGTTGTGTTGCCGACTGCCATCATCACTTTTGCAAATCAGATCGAGGTATTGCTATTCCTGATAATCTTCGCAATGAATGCACTTGGACAAGACAATCCTCTTTTTTGACAAACACTCAGAGATTCTTGCCACTTACAAGTATCTCATCATATGAGGCTCTGTCATTGGCTTCGATGCAATTGCAGGGTCAAGAGTAGATTCCGATAGTGGATAGCGTCTAGTCTAGCAGGCACTGATAAACCCCTCGGCCGAGCTGTCGTTATCTCTAAAGAAGCGTATCCCAAACAACTACTCCACGCTTTTGGCTCTTAGCGCGAATGTCAAGTGCAATACGTACTCTAGGGTGCATAAAAACCCAGCCTTCTGGGCGGATAGTGCAATGCATTCGCTCGGGAGACTTTCAAGTGTGTGGTCTATTCACCTTTCTAGAATAGACCCCCAGACTGAACGCTCCATGTAGTCTAGCCTCAGCCCGATAGGCATGCCGTTGACACGATAACGTAGATTGTCTATCTCGGCTCAAGATACGGTGTATCTAATCTAATTGGTATCATTGGACGCTCGCTCAGTTCCGAAGATGCATTTGACTATTTTAAAGTTACTGTTATTCCCAAGAGCCCGGGATTGTCAACACTACCCTGCTTTGCCGCGAATTTGTTACCAAGAGCTCGTGCATTCGGCGAATACTTTTCTCTTCTCAAGAACTCTCCGTCGTCTTCGGTCTTGTTGTCCAATACGTATACTTTCTCACCACTGAATCATCACCATGATCGGCAAGCGCAATGTGCGCGAGGCCGGCCGCAAGGCCAAGCTTGCTCTGACAACCAAAGAGGGTTTCAAGAACGCCATTGAGGTGCAGACTTCCGACTTTGCGCCTTCCAGCCATGGATTCATTTGGTCAAATGCCCATATGGATCCAAGCCCTCCTTCTGAGCGAACTTGGTCCTGGGTGCATTACTTTTCCGTTTGGTATTCTTACAATTTCACATCTGGAGCTTGGGCTGCCGCATCGTCTCTTCTCGCTTTGAACGTGAACTGGTGGCAAGCAATTCTGGCTTGTGTTGTCGGTTCCTTGATCAGCGGACTTGCAGTGGCACTGAACTCTCGTCAATCAGCAAAATATCATATTGGATTTCCAACACTTCAACGTGTCTCTTTCGGTAAAAAAATGATTGCTCCTTTTCTCTTATTCTTGAGAAGTTGGCTGATTAGTTGTGATAGGAATGTATGGGTCTTTATTCCCCGTCTTCACAAGAGCAGTGGTATCAGTGCTTTGGATCGGTGTGACTGTATATCAAAGTTCCCTGTTTCTTGATGTCGCCTTCAGGTATGGTCTTGACCCTGATCATTCATTAACGAGTCTTAACATCGAGTCTAGATGCGTCTTTGGTGATGCTTGGTACAAAATGCCGAACACCTTTCCCGCAAGCACCACCATCACAACACGAAAATTCGTCGCCTGCTTCATCGTATGGATCGGATCCTATCCGGCAATGTTTCTCAAAGTCCACAAAATGCGACACTTCTGGACGCTCAAGGCACTGATCATTCCTCCGATCACGATTGGGTTCTTCATATATTGTATGGTAGTTGGACACAAGGGTGCTGTGTCTTACGCAGCTACTCCAAACCCAGTGACCGGGTCCAAATTAGGCTGGGCTTTCGTGTACAGCGTGCAAGCTATTATTGGTAGCTTTTCTCCCTTGATTGCTTCCAACCCCGATATTGCCAGGTATGCCGTCAAACCCAGCGCCACCGGTTGGCCCCAATTCCTTACGATCACATTTTTCAAGACGCTGGTTTGTGTTATTGGCATCTTCGGTACCAATGCAATTGCATACAAGTATGGAAAGACATACTGGAATCTGTGGGACATATGCGACGTGGTCCTCACCAACAACTGGAGCGGTGGTGTGCGTTTCGCCATCTTTCTATTTGCAATCTTGATGGCTGCCTCTGAGCAAATCAAGAATCTGTCTGCCAACATGATTTCTTTCGGAGCCGACACGGCCTGCTTGATGCCGAAATACATCAACATCAACCGAGGAATGGTTTTGGGCTTGACAATTGGCTTTGTTATTCAACCTTGGCACATTCTTGCAACTGCAAAGGCCTACCTTACCTTCCTCACCGGTTATAGTCTATTTTTGGGAGCCATCCCAGCTATTGCTGTCTCTGACTACGTCCTGCGAAAAGGCAATGTTGATGTACTGTCACTCTATACTTCTAACAAGGGTATGTTTTGAATTGCATCGCTTCGTCTTAATGTTGCTAATCAGAATTCAGACTATTGGTACTTTAAGGGATGGAATTGGAAAGCATATGCTGCATATATCATGGCCATCTGGCCAGTTTGTCCTGGATTTGCATACCAGTTCAACAAGACCTCGTCAACTTCTCAAGGCTGGATTCATCTGTATCAGCTGGGTTGGCTGTTTGCTGTCTTTATGGGAGCCTTCATCTATATTGTTCTCTCATATGTGTTCAAGGATCCTGCTATGTTCGAGGCTAATAGGTTCCCATTTGAGTCTTATGCAGTGAACCAGCAAGAGCTGTTGGATAAGGAACCTGGCAAGGACACTGTTTTGGAGGGATCTCCGGCAAGGGAATCTGATTCCGAGCATGGTCGAGATCTCTTAGAGAAGAACTCGGAGAAGCCTATCGACGTTGTTACAGCTGTCTAGACGTCAATATATTCCTTCCAGTTCGTATCAGATGACTTCTGAAATGAGTATGCGGAAATTCTGTTCTCAACACTGCAGGGTGTGTAAAATAATACTCTGCTTTTGGTCCACTTCTTAGGATTGCATCATGGTGATTAATTGTGCCATTATGCAAAATGGAAGCGCGTCTGGGATGCTTGATAGCATACGAACACGATTGATGAATCTGAAAAAGCTGTAGCCGCCTTATTTAGAACTACTTATACGACGTATCTGTTACTAACGCTGAAAGCAGATGAAGCTAAGATAGATGTTTTGCCAAGTAAGTCAGCTGTGGATGAAGTCTTGCGGTTCTTCGTCTAACATCTATTGTCTACTATTAGAAGCAATTATTCCCTAGTGTTTTCTGGCGGAATATGCCGAGCCAACGCGTGACGACACAATGAGGAAGGGCAAGCTTATCGCGACCATTTTGTTGTTTCGTTTTCTCAATACAAAGGCGTTGATTGTGATCAGAAATTCGGCCGAGTGAATTCAGCCCCACGTCCGCTTCGGCCGAGATATTTAGTAGGACTAATAGTTAAATCACCCACGGAACAAACTCGGGGTTGACTCGACATGGAATTCAATACACTACTACAGCCGCATGGGATATGGTGGCTTTGGTAACATACACGCAGTTGGGCTGACACTTAATCTCTCCGAAGTCACTGAGTCCTTGTTCTGCCTCCAGATACATATCGACGTCAAGGACATTTTAAACCCTTTAGCACAATGGGCCTCTTGCCTGAGGAAGCCCAGGCCATGACTGGCTATCCTAGGCGAGAAGAGAACGCCTGCTCGGTGTGCTCCGGCCAGCATGAGAAACTGGTGGCCGGCTTGAAGTTGTCTTGGCTCGGAGATCTCCGCTATCACTAAGGCTCATTGCTTATTTAATACAGAGCGATGTAAACCAACAGTAGACAGGAAGTAACAAGCGTGTCTTCTCAAACTTTCGTCAAACCTTGATCTCTGATACTCCACCGATTAGCTCGGGTTGGTAGTTTGTAATCATTCAGTCCAGCGATCCTTGAACATGTTACAAAATACGTTAAAGTTAAACATTTTCAGCCGCTATGCTTTCGTGAGCCCATAACCATATCGAAGCCATATCTTTGCCTATATTATAGCTTTTCTGGAGGGTTTCGAGAAGCTCTGATGTCGTAATTTGGAGGTTAGGGATGTTTCTTCAATCCGATCACGGAGAGCCCATGGGTCAGGGGTCTCCAGGGGACCGTGCACCGACCCGTGTGGGGCGGGCCAGCACGAGGAGTGTGGGGACTGCAGGCGCGAACCAGACTTGTTTACTCCAACGGCAGCAAGCGCGTCTCTTCACTCACCACTTACACTGAGACATCGCTACGTATTACGCCAGGTCATTGAATATCAAGGATCACATATCGTTACTTCACTTCACGAATAAATATTCTATTTTCAAGATTCATACAAGTCTTTTATTACCATCAGGTCGCCACAAGCGCGGTCTTCCAGGAAGCAAATTCAGAATCCAACAGCTTGTCGCGTGACCCTCTCAATGGCCGACGAACAGGAGCCGACGCTTCCGCGGCTTCCCGCTGTCTCATGGGATGCAAAGTCGCAAACTTTCAGCAAACGGAAGCGTGCAAACGTGGACAGTCGGCCGCCGTTGACATCAACATCTAGCGATCCGGCTTTCTTCTCCAGTGACGATGATCCATCTCTAGATAATTATACCCATTCGCGCCGGAAGAAGCGGTATGCTGGGTCGTGGTATCATCAGCATCCTACAGGCTCAGAATTGACCGTCGGCGAGGGCTCGCAACCTGCCGTGAAGGCGAAGAGGACATTCGAGCGCCAGTTCGATAGTGGTGTGTGGATGGATAGCGATGGCACTGAATATGAAGATTCAATTATGGATGAGATAGAGCTCCCTACTCACTCAAGGCTCCCACAGCTGATGAGCACTCCACGCGCTCAAAGAACCGCTGCAATATCTGCTGCGGAGATGACAGCACAGCAAAAGATTCGAGACTGTATCGAAGATGGCGACGAGAACGTTGATTTGTCGTAAGTAACTTTGAAACCCCAGACTCGCCAGAAATTAACAAGCCATAGTACCCTCAATCTTGAATATCTCAGTAACACGACAGTTGAGCGATTGTCGCAGTTCTCGTGTATTCCGACCGTGGAAAAGGGCGTCCCCTTCGTACAAAAGGATCCCGCCTTGAAGTTATACTTATTTGGCAACCGCCTTCAGCATGTCCCAGGAGCGATCTTCAATCTAGAGTTTCTTACTGTGTTAAGTCTACGCGGGAATGGGCTCAGGGAACTCCCGCCGGCCATCTCAAAACTGAAGAACTTAACGCAATTGAACGTTGCGCAGAACGCTCTCCGGTCACTCCCGGCTGAATTGCTTGAGCTCATTGCATCGTCTGACAAGCTCGATACTTTGGCGCTGTTTCCAAATCCGTTCTACCGTCCACAAGAGCCAGTCGTCGTATCGGCTGACGACACCTCAAATGAAGCTTCGCCGAATGAAGATGTCTCAACAGGCTCGAAGAAGGAGACCCTGGCTTGGTTGGAGTTTCATGGTCATTTAAGAGGCGATATCTTAGCTCGGTCGCCTGTTCAATTCTCAGATACTACAGGGAAGATATATTCTTCCTTTGCGCTTAACCCGAGGTCCGAAAAGCTGGCAACCGAAGGCCTCCTGCAAGACGCCGAGCTGCCCTCGACGACACAGTTCCGGTCCAAATTCGCAACCTCATCAGCAGCGGAAGAGCATTCCAGAGTTCCCTCACTGCTCGAGGTCTCATTACAAGCCTGCTATCGCGCTCCACAGGTCAACGAGCTTCCGCACCTTCTTCCGCAAAACTCGCCGCCACACCTGTCCAAGCTTTTGCAGAAGGCGCACTTACTGCGCGAGACGGGTGGCTTGAGATGTTCTGTTTGCAAACGGCGTCTGGTCCAGCCTCGGGCAGAGTGGATTGAATGGTGGGAGCTTAAGCACCCAGCTACGTCGACCATGGGAGACCAAGTTGTCTTCGTGCCAATGAACCAGAACGAGGAGGAACGGGCTGTGCCGTTCATTAGGCGAGGTTGTTCTTGGAAATGTTTGCCTCAGAGGGTTTTAGAAGTAACGATGTCGGACGAGGAAATGGCCAACTAAATAATCGTGATACAATAATTGGCGGCCGACTTCAGAGACTGAATTTGTCAAAGGATCAGTGCCGCATAAATTCTACCGGACATCTGAACCTATGCAGTGTCCTCCTGGTGACATCTCACGACATTTATCCTGGGTGTGCCTGTTAAAGGCCGTTTGAGAAGGTGATGTTAGCGTAATTACCAATAGTGACGTTGATGGGTCCAGAAAGGGCATACTTTACGATTCCTTGATCCGAATGAATCACTGTTCAGTGCACGCACAAGCCATCTTGAGGACTCTCGAGAATGGGAAATATTTTTGCCTGTTCGGATTGGCGGGTATATAATATGCGGCATGTTACTTAAAATTTCAATACGGAAGCGTCGAATTGTACATCAAGTAGATTATGATCAAACATGTCGTCTTTGAAGGTAGACACATCTCTGGCATTTGGATGTCATGCACAAGAGGCAAGTCGCCGAGGACCTGGATTGTGTCCTCCACATACCCCACAATAAGCCGGCCAATGAGATGTTATACCGGCGCCACGGCGACCCCAGATATCACACCACCATCACACGTCAGTGCAGGTCGTCTGAGCAGCAGCCCCTCAAACATCTCCAAACTCTCAGGTCATGCATGCTCTGACTATGCGGGGTCTGGACGGAGCACTCTGGACTATAAGGGCCATCCGGCTTCCAGTGCAACTGCATTCACTTCTTCTCATGTCAAGGTACCCATGATGAATTCTCTGCGCATTGCTAGCATACACTCTGCGAAGAACATATCACGCAGTGTAATCAGAAATAACGGCCTGAAGTCACAGAATCTCTTTTACTCCACAATGAAAGCCCTCGTCTATAAGGGTGTTGGGCAGGTTGAGCTGCAAGAAAGGCCCAAGCCCCAGATCACGGCACCCTCGGATGCCATAATAAAACTCACCAAGACAACAATTTGCGGAACGGATCTACACATTCGCAAGGGCGATGTAGCTACTTGTGCACCAGGCACAATATTGGGTCACGAGGGTGTCGGTGTTGTTGAGGAAGCAGGAGGTTCGGTGACGGCATTTAAGAAGGGAGACCGCGTCCTCATATCATGCATTTGTTCCTGTGCTGCTTGCGAATACTGCCGCAAGGGAATGTACTCACATTGTACGTCCGGCGGTTGGATTCTTGGCAATACCATTGATGGAACACAAGCAGAATATGTGCGCATTCCGCACGCCAATTCCAGTCTCTACACTATTCCCGAGGGAGTGGATGAGGCTGCAATGGTCATGCTCAGTGACATCTTCCCTACCGGGTACGAATGCGGTGTTCTCAATGGCAAGGTCGAGCCTGGTTCAACAGTGGCTATTGTTGGAGCAGGACCGATCGGATTGGCAGCCCTCATTACGGCTCAGATGTACTCCCCTGCCAAGATCATCATGGTCGATAAAGACACCAATAGGCTCAACGTGTCTACAGCCATGGGGGCGGCTCACACAGTTGACCCAGACAACGCTGTCGAGCAGATCAAAGCTTTAACGGATGGGAAAGGATGTGATACAGTTATTGAGGCTGTGGGAATTCCTGCAAGCTTCGATTTATGTCAGAAACTCCTCGCTCCGGGCGGCACATTAGCGAATGTTGGTGTCCACGGCACGAAGGTAGACCTACACCTTGAAGATCTGTGGGCACACAACATCTGTGAGTCTATCATCATGCGTATAATCCTCCTCATCAGAAACTGACGAATGACATTAGCAATCACGACAAGGCTGGTTGATACCGTGACTACGCCAATGCTTATGAAGTTGGTGCAATCCGGAAAACTGGATCCGACTAAGCTTATAACACATAGTAAGTCCTACTCAGACTGAAGATCCTGACTTCGGCAACACGACTAATTCTGCAATTAGAATTCAAATTTAGCGAAATGGAGAAAGCGTACGAGACGTTCGGGGCTGCTGCGCAACACGATGCATTGAAGGTGGTTGTCGAAATGGAGAACTGAGGGTGTACTAGTCCATGGGAAGGCGTTGTGCGATTCTTTTGTTGAATATCTGGGTTATAATATATGTAAACTAATCTGTCAACTGAAATAAGGACGTTTGTCTCCCGTTCAGTCAACCGCGAAGGCATCTTTCGAGGTCTCGACCCGCACCCACATATATCTAGGTCAGGAGAATCATGCACTAGAGCAAACACCCGAAGCCAACGGTGAATCTGGAGCGCTTGCAACGGACAGCTCGCCAGATTTGAAGGTAACGTTGGGGCTCAAAGCTATATGAGTGGTGCCGTTAAGGATTTTAGCGGCATAAGCTGGGCATTCGCCCCCAGGGCTGGACGGCGCGTTATGCACCAATAGCAGGCGATCCACCTGATTATCATCAGATCATGTCATTGCCTTTTCTCCATGACACCACAAATGCCAATTTTGCCAATGCGGGGAATATCAGTTCACACACGCATACTGGGCCTTTGAGGAGAATCTGGACTATACCCGAAGTTCCTCTTGTCCGGATGGACTGAAGGATTTAAGATGGACTGGAGTGTATATGAGGGCTGGACTCTCGGGCTAGAAGGATGGTCGCTCTCTCGCTTTGAAGAACTTAGCAACATCAACCCGATCTAACAGAATCCAACGACATCAATCCGACGATTTTCGGCTCTGAGAGACTTGTACAAGGCTTGGCATAGAGAACACAACCCCTGCTGCCATGCCCGCCACCGCGATACAGATCCCGACTTCGGACGGCCGTGTGCTTGCCGGCACGCTGTACACTCCCAGTCTGGCACCAGCTCCGTATGGCAATGAACACAAGCTTCCTGCTCTCGTTCTTGCCCCCACTTTCACTGCCATCCAAGGCATGGGCCTCCAGAACTGGGCGAGCCACTTCACCCATCACTTGTGGATGGCTGTTGTCACTTTCGATGCACGTGGGTTTGGTGCCTCTCAGGTCAGTCTCCGTGATCTCGCCGAGATGTTCATGATCTTCCCCGGATATTCTCCCCCATACGCTACCCGCTCCCACCCCTGAATTTCCGTATTAGTAGAGAGACTAACAATCCACCCCTTTTAGGGTCCGGGGTTCGTAACTCACGAAGCGCTACCAACAGCACAAGTCGCCGATATCCAAGACGCAATAACCTACGCAGCAGCACATCCGCTTATCGACCCCAGCAAGATTGCTCTCTGGGGATCTGGGTTGTCAGGTGGCCACGTGCTGCACGTTGCAGCCATCGACAAACGAATCCGCGCCGTCATCTCACAGGCACCACTCGTCAATGGCTGGGAGACGATCAGCCGTCGTGTGAGATATGATCATCTACCGGACCTCGAGGTTCGTTTTGCAGCAGACCGTCTGAACCGTTGTACGGCCGTGCTCGGCGGCGCAGATGCCACTGCCCTCCCCAGCCCGGCTATGGTACCTGTGGTCACGGACCCGGCTGGTCCCGCCAAGGATGAACTCTGCGCGCTTCCAGGAGCAGACAGCTTCGCCCACTTCGGCCGTTTTGTTAACCCAATTACCGCAGAAGGTACGGCGGTGTGGGCCAACGAGGTCACGCTGCGGTCACTCGAGGCGATCCGAGGGTATATGCCGGCGACACTTGTAGATAAAATCAGCCCAACACCATTGCTTATGGTATTGGCACGGGAAGATCGTGTATGTCCAGCTGACCTGGCGCTAGCCACCTATGAGAAGGCCCTCCAGCCGAAGGAAGTGCGTTTCGTCGCGGGTGGCCACTATAGCGTGTACGGCGGCGAGCAATTAGAGGGAAATGTTGAAGGGCAGATCGCCTGGCTGAGGACGGTGTTTGGTCTATGAAAAGGGAATCCAAGTGAACTGATTACCATGCATAGTGGACATTGAATCATGCTTATGAGCTGGTAGTGACTGCTATCAATATCGCACATATGAAATATGGCCTGAATGATTAGCTAAATTGAGTTTATGGTTTAACCTTGTCCCTATCAATCCTGTCCAGATCTTTTGAAAGTCTTCAAATGCCAGATACATTACTGATCAATATAGCCGCGCCATTGTTTATTCTACGCCAGTTGTGCCGCAAACGAAAATTAAGACCAGGACAAAATACTAGCCATCTCCTCCGAATGAGCCTTATCACCCAGGTCCTACTCGCTCCAGTATTCGTTATCTTCAGGAACATCATCAAATCCTGATTCTGAGTCGCACGTCGGAAAAGCCACCGCTCCACACTCTAATAGAAGTGTCTCTATGTTCTCGCGCGCATTTTCCTCCAACGTATACTGGCTTCTCGCATATTCTGTGTAGCTGCATTCACAGTACTGGACAATGTGAAGTGGGCTCTGCCCATGAAGGTTGTTCAACTGTTCCAAGGGCGATTCCTCTTCAAACTTGAAGCCATTTCCTCCAATACCATCAATATCGGCACCTGCTTCGATCAAAGTTTCCACACCATGCAGGTCCCAGCATGACACAGCTACTTGAAGAGGAGTTACAAAGGCTCCTTCTGGACCATTTGCACTTGCTCCTAAACTCAACAATTTTTCAAGGGGACACGACCATCTGGGATCTTCATACCGGTGGCCAGTAATATACAGCAGTAATAGCGTCGAGAGATCAAAGTGCCTTACTCCGTATGCTGAAATTAAGTCTAAAATGCATTGGAAAACATGTGGCTGCTGTCGTGACCACGGTGCAACGATCTCAGGTATCGACCCTTTATATTTGTAAGATTCAATCTCCAAACTAAATGGATTCTCGTCTAATTTTTCCATCTCTATTCTCTGCTGCAGCAGGCTTAGCACTGAATGTTCTTTTGCGAATGCGAGCGCTAGACTTGTTGTACCGGAACAGTCTGATGCAAGAAGAAAATTCAGGAAAACAGCGACTTTTGGATCTGATATATGCATCCATTCAATTGTCCAGAAATGATAATGAGGATGGAGTCCGATTTCATCGCTGTGATCCAAGATATCGTGATTCCATGCTATAGTGATCCAATCAGCGAAATCAGAATAAGCTGGTCTCTGAGGGTTGATGAGCATTCCACTAAGCTCTATTGAAGTCACATCGGATGAAATGGCTTCAGACCAAATGGTAAGCTGTAGCATCGAGGAAAGCATACAATAGAGCTTGAACTTTCCATCCAAGTGAGAGATAAAATGCTCCACTTCATTGCATTCAACGTGACTAGGAAGTTCGCCTGGCTGGAAAGCCAATGCTTGGTGCAGTGCAATCTGTGCGAATTCTTTGTGTATCCTCTCTGGCCAAAGCGCGAAAAATCCAACTTTCCGATGAATGATTCTGGACGATTTCAGATACTCTTCAACCGTATAATGTGCAAAAGAAACCGTGCTTCTCTTATAAGTCTTTTTATATGCGACGGATTCTTGATCAATTATAATTAGGCAGCCACAGCGCTCGCGTAAGCCTTCGAAGTCATCGAATTGATCCGCATAATGGGGAAGACGATTCCCAGTGCTTTCCTTGATAGCCTGAAGGAGTGTGGAGAGAGGGATATTATCTCCAAATAATTCATTGTGATAAATCATCCAGTGAAAGACGTGCTGTACACACAGCCATTCCTCCTCGGGAATGGAGAGAAATATGCGCTCATAGGTCTCATCGAGTGTCTTGGGAAGATTTGAGAGAGCAGCTCTGATGGTTGATACATCGGGTTTGAGTCGTTTGAGAATGTCAAGCTGACAAACAGCCCAGCGAAACCTGTGCACAATGAGCGTAGTGACATAATGTTAGCTTACAAAACTTACATCCCCTCCGCTCTCTTCGGAATAGTAATTTGCACCTCAAGCCTCAGATTCTCAGGCCAACGTTGGTATTTTGCATCTGATTGGACTACAGATCGAACTAGTGTCCCGATATCCTCTTCGACGAAGGAGTTCGACATGTTGATCGGGATAGAACAAGTTGCCATAATTTGCTCGATGTCAATATACTGCCGGCTTGTCACGAGCAAGCTAAGGTTTGAAAATCTGGCATCTGTTGAGATATCCCTAATGACACGAAGCAAATCCTCACGTGGCATGCTCTCGTCAACAGCGTCTAGAACAATATAGACTCGCTCGAAAACTTCCAGAGCAGTCTGTAGAGCGGACAGAAGGGCTGACAGGGAGGGTTCTTTGCCCGAATTATATATATCATATAGGTTTTCTGGGATTCGTTTTGCCTGTCTACAAAGCTGACCGATTATCCAGCGTAGGAAGTGAGACGACTCGTCCTGGTTGTGACCGAAGTAACAGTAATAGTACGCGTGGCCGAGCTTTGAGCTTTGATTCGATGAAGACTTGCAGTGCATCTCGATAACTTCTGCCATGTAAGATGCTAGAATTGATTTTCCGGCTCCTGGGATGCCATTGATCCACAAGCAGCGATGTTTTCCTTCGATCCACAGAGGCCACTCAGGGGTGTTCAGCATCCACGATGCAGTTCCAGGTTCGTAAAGTCTCTGAGATCGATTGTGAATATTAGAAGGATTGGTGATCTCAAGCCATTTGTACAACTTTTCACGCTCGCTTTCTGTGCTTGCTCAGCGAAAGTGTTTCGGCCAGGGAATTGCTCTTACCTGTGAGTAGATCTTGGATCTGTTCGGCTTTCCGCTTGACATCTTTTAGGTCATGACTATTGAGATTAGGCTGCCGTTCTCGCATACAGATTGTAACATAGTTGAAGCATATGACATACACGAATTCCGCAGTAAGGGCGAGGTTGATCGTTGTCTTATACTGTATAATTTCCTGCAAAAGCTTCTTGGCTTTCCCCGTCTTCAGAGGCCACGCCAATGCTGCCACAGCCGCATCAAGCTTTCTTCGTTTCGATCCTTGGCCATTGGACTGCACTGCTGTGGACGGAAACAACGCCTCGAGCTCTTTCAGTGCTTTTTTACACCCCTCGATCGGCCCCGTGACACTAGCCACCTGGTGCAAGAAGGCCGAGTCAGCGACATTGGGCTCAGTCAAATACTGTAGGCCCTCTACAATCCCTTTGAGAGCCGACACTTCAATCAATATCACTCTGAGGTCTGCTGATGCTCCGTCAACTGCGCCGATGTAGAACTGGCAGGCCGTGATGATTTTCTGGGTAATTTGAACGATGGCAATAATACTTCCTACCACGCCGAGCGCCTCCATGGGTGCGACCCGCAGTAGTGAATTGCTCGAAAGACCAAGAACGCAACGGCACTGGGAATATGTGTTGGCCCGGCAGGCTTTCTGCAGCTGACAGGCTTGACAATGATCTAGTGACGCTTGGCAGTCGAAGCCAAAGCTGCATACATCAAGGTCGTTGAGAAATCTTCTGATGAACGGGAATTGTCTGAATAGCGGCAAGGATGAGGAGCAAGAGAAGTTGGCGGAGGTAATGATAGCATCAGCGTGGGTATCCTTTGATGAGAGTCGTACTTTGTTGGTGGAGGCTGTGCAGTGATGCCCAATGCAGCCGGTGAATCTGCCTTATCTGTGGCCGACGCCGTTTTGTCGCAGCCTCGTGGTTTCTGTACGTAGTCTGACCTCATTGGCCATGGTCCAGATATGTAAAGTGCGTGAACAACGTCGAATGATTGCTTCTCAGCTGCACGTATAACGAGATTATAGGACATCATTTTCTTTGAAGTTCAAGTCTACATGTCAAGTTCTCCCTATATTGCTTATTTGAGAAACCAGAGATATCATGAGAGCCATGATAAAATTCGGAGCACACCGGTAGTACCCGCGAACTCTAGGGATATCAAGTGGGTATTGGGGCACTGCTATATAGCCACGTAGAAAAGTGCGTGAACAAGCTATAGCCACGTAGAAAGACCTGAGGGTAGCTATCATGATGATGTAGCGCCTCTGCTTCCCATCTCCGTGTCGCTAGCCTGCTCACTCTTGCCCACGCCCGACTCCAACCCCGAGTCCTGCACCGCGTTGTTCTTCTTGCGACTAAAGCCGCCCTCGCCCTCCATCATCTCCTTGAAGCAGACGCTCGGGTGGAAGACATTCAGCGACACGACAGCAACAACAATCATGACGCCCTCGAAGCCAATAAACATGGGCTGGTTCTTCATCAGGGGACCGGTCCATCCCTTACTCAGCTCCGCCACGCGGAAGACGCACCGCCAGAAGATGCAGATGGTGCTGAGCGTCAGGGCGCCGAGGAAGCCCTTGAAGAGCCACGAGTTGCGGATGGCGGCGACGCTGGCGGACTGGTCGAAGGCGGCGTCGCCGAGCTTCTTGTGGCGCCGCCACGCGTTGAAGGCGAAGTCGGCCGAGCAGAGCATGAACATGAGCATGGTGAAGACCTGGAACGAAAGGCCGGCAATCATAATGTTGTCGCCGGTCTCGACGGGCTTGTTGTTGTGCGAGGCCACGGAGGCCATGGCGCCACCAACAGCCTGCAGGATGAGCGAGAGTACATCGCAAGGGATGAACTAGAGTCATTAGCTATATTGGCCTCTATGCAGACAAGAACGGTGTATAGTGGTAAAGGGGTCAACTTACAATCCTAGTGTAGTAAGGTGGAGGGATCCTCGAGTTCTCCGGACCGAAAGTAAAGACAATGCGTCGTAGGCAGAAGTAGATACCAGCAGCCATGAACGCCGGGGCGATAGTCAAGCAGCAAATCTGCATGAGGAAGCCATTCTCATCCCAAGGGTTCTTCCAGCTCATAACCCGACCGGCATAGCCCAAGACTTCGCAAATCAGGCCGAGGAGAAAGGCAATGGTAAACGCCAGACCACGGCGAGTCACTGCATACGTGACAAGATATGCAATCAGAGACACGCCAAAGATACCAATGAAAGCGGCATATGCAGCGACGTCGAGCTTGTAGCCATAGTAGCCGGTGTGGCACCAGTCGCGTTCAGGGTGCAGGCGGCATTCCCTGAGGAATTCGCTGGTTGCATCGCCTCCACCTGTGTCGTCGGTCGATTGTCGAAGGACAAGAGCCGCGGTATGCAGCAGGTAGTCCATGGCGAAGGTTTGTTCACTGAGATGAGTTCTTCAGTCGTTGGGTTGTTCTGGGCAGATGAAATACTCTTTAGTTAAGCGCCAGTTATGATGAAACGGCCAAGGTGTGAAGAGCCCGAGCGAGCAGCGTCGAGTTTTGATAACCGCTTCGCTCGTAGCCTCAACTAAAGAACAAAAGAAGTATTCACTCTGGAAACAGGTGTCTCCTCTAAACCAGATGATTAGGTATGCGTTATCTTGAACTCAAAGCTGCAACCTCGACAACTAGGGGAGCCAGTGAATATTGTCTTCAGCTGACAAATGACGAGCAGTATCTCAAAGTACGACACAATCGGCCCAAGAAGTGAATCGGAAAATAGAAAGAAAGGATCGAAGAGCCAGGAAAAGGGTTGGAATGAACAACGATAAATAAAAAAAATACGAGGTGGGCCTAATGACGAATCGATATATAGGATTACAAAAATCGAGCGAAGACGGGCTTGGTATCGAGAAAGTCACAACAAGACACCACCAACAGAGACGACACTTCACCCGAACGGAAATAATTTATGCTTTTAGACTAAGACGCTGCGTAGGCGATTGAGAGAACGAGAACGACCAGACAAACCCTTGCTTGCTATGCTAGGTATGTTACAGTGGATCGAATTAGACTACCCGGAAACCGCTGGGCTGAGCACACAGTTTTAAGAGGAGGAGACCCATCTGGCTGGCTTCCGTAGAGGGCGGCCGAGTCGTGCATGGGCAGCCGGCGTAAACCATGCTCAATCAGGTATGGTTTTCGATCTCACACATGCGACTCCGGCCGGGGGGTCGGGCCAACGACTTGCTCCGCTCGCCATTCCGCACTGCTACTGCAGCAGTAGAGCTTATTTTGGCGACCTTCACGACACGCAATGCCTCAGGGCGTGATTGGGTCCGCCTAGCGCCACGATTTCGCCCTCGCCCTGCTTGTGTTCTCTTGCTTCATACCTTATATCTGCTGCCTTGTCTGCCGCACCCCACAACAGGAGATTGGACGTTGACAAGGCTGCGCACAGCCTCAGTCTTTGAGTGACATGGGCAGATATTGCATGTGCTGAAAGTGCGGGATGCTGTTGGATATGAAGAAGACCTGTATGTAAGTGTAGGATCTCATTTGAGCTACGTGCTGCGCCCCCCGGAGGCATGAGATAAACTACGGTACGCCAAAGAGAAGCGCCGTAGAACCCTCGTAAGCCTATCCCAATCGAGACGGATGCGGACTCGGCGAGCTGCAAACCGGCGACGGGACACCCATTGAGAAAAGGGGGCCAGGCCCACCTTTCAGGATCCGGAACCGCTGTTGTATACCGGAGCCGGTTCCCTTTGGCTGCCAAGCATATGGCGAATATGATTGATGAGATGCTTTCCAGATTGGGTAGTCCAAGTCGAGAAGTTCTCAACCGGCGGAGGCTGTGCTCTTTGCGACGAGCATTCTCTATTCAGCAAGCACATCGTGGTGGAATTGTACTCGTGTTGGCGTCAAATGGATATCTGAATTTTGTTTCATGATGCCTTCGAAACGGTGTCGATACGTAGCTGTGCTCTGTCTGTTTTTTGTGTATGACTATACCTGATTGGCCCTCATCTCTAATCCACGATCAATACATTGTCCCCCCGAGTACCAGTATGTACACGCCGAATTCCTCAATCTAGAGCCTCGAGACCGGCAACACCGCCGAGGACACATCATCAAGCCGGCTTACGTACCACTATTGACCGATCACGATCATCCACTCTCTCCTCTTAGTCACAGCGATTCTTGAACTCCGACGCCTTACGCCATTAGGCGGAAACGACAGGAACTCCTCATCGACAAAGCACACACCCGCCCTCTATCCGATTTACATGTACTTTCACCTTACTTTCTTCCTCGAAATCTTCCCCTCATCTGAGCTGACCGGACTAGGAGCGCCAACGGCTGCTGTAGATGTCACACCAGTCGTAACGCCTCCCACGGCACGACTGGTGCCCAGGCTGATGCCCTTGCCTTGACGCATGGAGTCCTTGTTCAAGCTTGTCCCGGTTGCACTCCTGAACTTCAACGATGGATTCAGTGATGACACCGGCGATATAGGCGACTGCCTATCGCTGCCACTATTAACGCCATAGCTAGTCGTGGGTCGTGATCCCGACCCGTCGAGGGCACTCTGGTCAGTCGCATACGACGACTCGTCATCGCTGACCAGACCTTTCCTGACGCCTTCGCGGGCGTGATGCTGTGGGTGCTCCTCATCTCCATTGCTCCTGATCGTAGTAAGTTCATTCTCAGCCACATCGCTATTGTTGCCCACGTGTCTCCTGAAGGAAGCACTCGCGCTGAGACTCTGGTGCCGAGCGCTTCTATACCGAGCATACTCCTCCTTCGAATGCTCCGCGCCCGTGAAGCTCTCAAGCGCATCAAACACGTGCTGGAACACCTGCACGTCGACATCTCTCGCCCAGAGGAAGTCAAGGTGCTCGTAGTGGGGGATCTCTGTGGCTACGGTCTGGCGCGGCAGCTCGCGCAGCATCACCCTGATGTCGACGAGCGAGTCGCTGCCGCCGTACACGAGCACGATAGGCGTCCTGATGTTGCGGGTCGGATACCTGGCGACCTTGGTGTATTTGGATGAAGACCGGAGGGGTGCTTCGTCGTCATACATCTGGAATGACTTTGTGCGGATGATCTGAAACCAGTGGACGACGGACTTGGTGCTGGTGAAGGAGTACAAGTGCGGATAGGCGGCCAGCTTCTGTGAAACAGAAATGTTCTTCGCTTTCCAGTTGAAGAGAAAGCCAAGGCCGACGTCGATAGCTTTTGTGAAGATAGGAGGGTAGAGAATAGACTCCCACATTGTGGCCGAGCTGAGGATTGAACGCCGTCCAAAGAGAAGGAATAGTACTTGGGGTGACGCTTTGACGAGCGCATCTACTATCCCGTTGGAGAGGCCAGCTGGTGACATTGCCGGTGCCAAGGCTATGAATACATTGACTTGCTGATTCAGTTTCGGATGAATTGATAGCGCAGCAAAAGCCTGGGCCGTCCCTTGTGAGAACCCGATATACGACAGAGAAGCTTGGCCAGTCGTGTCTAGAATGTAGTCTATGCTGTCTGGAATATCGTGAAATGCAAACTCATCTATTGAGAAGTCCCAGAACTCCAAGGACGTGGGTGGGCAGTTGACAGACTTCTTGGAATACTTGTTGCCGCGATTGTTCCCCAGCTGTTTTCGTACTGTTAGTAGCATTCATTCAGTATTGGAGCGATATATGCTTACCCAAACATCGAAACCTCTCTCCACCAGCACAAATGGCAAACACCTCTGGGCATCCGTCAAGCATACCCAGACCTCACTGTTCATAAGCAGTCCGTGATGCATGTATATGACCCGCTTCTTGGTGCTATTCGGTCCGGAGTTGACCTTTGTATCTTCCTCCCCCGGTCGCCAGGCCAATCGATGCAGCCCTAGGAGATACCCGTCTTTTGTCTGAAGGACGTGCTCCTCTGCCGTATAGCCAAACAAGGCACATAGCTCGACGAAATCGGCCGCATTGCGAATGGATGTGGATATTGCTAACGAGCCATGTTAGTCGACTTCTCTCCCACCGATTCCGAGTGTTGACCCACGCTTTCTCCTCTCTTCTGCTCTTTTCTCCGCCGGTGATATTAACTTATTGAAGAGTCGTCGCGATGCTCGGTAGAAGAGGTCTATGAGGGTGGAGGCTGTTCTCGGTCAGCAACAGGGTCGATGGGTTGCAGCGTTCTGTTTGTCAAACATACGCAATGCGAGGGTCAGAACTCGAATGATTGCTTCGAGGCCAACGAGGAGGAATGAGCCGACCAACGCAACATACTCGGTACTGTGCTAGACGTAAGCTTTGACCCGCGGGGTCGTGATGTCGATCCGAACTTACATGTTGAGGCGGCCGAGGAACGGGACCGGCATTGTGACGTTTTGAATGAGAACCAAGCCTCTGGAGTCTTGAAGAGATACGAGACGGGATAATCAATCGAAAATATACGAAAACCCTAGCAGTTGTCCATTCCTCCGGCGTGTGCAGTTGTGGTGATTGCAAAGCTCGTAGGATTGTAGTGGTAGGTGAACAGTGATGTCACATGCACGTGTAAATCATGTCCCTTTCGGTCGCCCTCTGACAGCAGAGAAGATGGCAGTGGACACAGGCTAGGAAGCTGAAAAGAAAGCCCCTCCAACTCGGAATGTCAACTGAGCGATAGAAAGATGAACAGCGTCTCTGCGATAGAGGCTCTTCACCATAGATAATAGTATAGGGAAAGGGAGAAGGTTGGAGCTCTCTCTTTGGAGAACGGAGCTTGTGACAGTGGAGCTCTCACCCTCACATCTTAACGCCCGCATTAACATTTGAATAATTGGGCGACCCCTGCCAGGAACTGACACCTGGCCAATCGGAGCACGCAAAATCGGAAGCACCCAAATTCGAGAATCCGGGCAGCGCAAAGGCTTCCATTTGGCCCGGACCATCTGGAGGCTCCAGAAACTTTGACATTACCGATCACAGCTTCAACTTCAGCACAGCCAACAATTGTGAGCAGAGTATTGCCTCAGTCTCACAATCACGATGCCGAGCTCCTGCAAAGAAATAAGTGCGTCTAGTCCCGTCCATCCCATCTCAACCCTCCGCGGCTTCTGTCAGCTAACATCAGCCCACCACACACAGGAGCCGCCCTGGCGCAGTGCCTCCAGGAGTCCGAGTGCGTGATGGTCCAGCGACACACGGCGGCGGAGTGCCTGCGGTCGCCGCTGGCCGAGACGCTGCCGACCAAGTGCCAGCAGCTCAAGAAGGGCTTTGGCGAGTGCCGGCGCGGCATGATCGACATGCGCAAGCGCTTCCGCGGCAACCAGCCCGTCACCTTCAAGCACCTCGAGGACAGCGAGTCCGGCGCCGGCTACCAGCTGTACGCGGGCAAGCCGGCGTTTGCGGGCTCGCGCGGCGAGACGAGCGGCAACGAGACGGCGCCGCAGGACTGGCGCGAGGCCGAGAACGAAAAGTACCGCAAGGAGCTGGAGACGAAGAGATAAAGGGGTCGTAATTGGGCAAGGCGAATGGCACGTTGTTTGAGAGGTCACACAGTTGATAAACGGTAGTGGCCGGAGGAGTATAATGTGGCTCATTGTTCGACTACTGTACAAGTTACGATGCATCAGGCAGGGGAAGCATTGGACGGCGTTTATGGTGTTGGTTTGGTATACCAGTCAGCAGAGTCTGAAAAAAAAAAATTGGAAGTTATCCCACTCTGGGGAAAGGCACATAGTGCATTTAATCCATTCAATATGTTTGCTGAGGCTGAAGAAGCAAGGTGAACGAGTTTCCAGTCTCACAGGGCGCCACATCATGGGAAACCCGCATCTTCTTGCAAACGGCCTCGTACTCTGCAGGTGACAAAACCCTGAATTTCTCCCCCAACACTACAGAGTCATAAAGACGCATTGTTTGTGAAAAGAGATTGTTGTTGAACTGGAGAAATGTACGCTGGCCTGAGACAAGATGCCGTCTTCCCCAGACTTGCCGCGCGTAATTCTTCACCTCTACGCCGCGTTGAAATGCAGGGCCAATTATGACGTCCATCTGAGCAGATGTGCATCGATCTTGACAGATTTCCTAGACAATCAAATCAGATAATCGAAGAATGAGAGACAGGCCTAATATGCCTGGATAAGACGGCATCCGAAGGCTGAGAAGCGACCAATTGCATTTCTCTGTGTAGCGGTTGAGGCTTGGAAGCCGGGGCCAGTTATAAGCGTTGGGCTCTCCTTGCAGGGCTAAGGAACACGAGCTGAAGGGACCCATGCCAGCCAGTCAGCCAGCAGGCATACTTACCCGTCATGTCAGTTCCCACAGTGGGCAGTCTCGCCCGAGTCAGCGGGTGGCGGACGGATCAGACGGCGCTTTGCAGAAGTCCCATCTCGCCTTGGAGGTCTGGGCATTGTCAATCATTACCTGATCTAATTGCAAGGCAGAGATGGGAATGGGTTGGCCTTCTGGGGGGATACGAGAGGGGCTCGAGGGGTTAACTTTTTGGTAGTACCAGGACTCCTCCGCCAGGGTAGGTAATAAATGTTAGTTCATCAAAGGTATCATTACCTCCTCAGCAAGAGGTTATTGCCTTCGTAGATGTTGATAGACCCATAGTCATAGTAATAAACACAATATTCGAGAGCTTGGTGAGTACTGCGACTCCTTAACAATGAGTATCTTCACCCTTCAAGAATCAACGTTTATTACCCTGGCGAAGGAGTGAATTTAAAATAGCATGAAAAAAACAGAAGGGTGATGGGGGCCGGGGCCTAGAAAGCCGCTAAAAAGTACCTAATAGGAGACACCTAGTGTAGAGAGTCGCGTGCCCACCTTCCAATCCCAGTCGCATCTACACTTCTCTCCCCCGCAGAGGTTTACTTCCCTTGCCACTAGCATCGCCTTTGGCAGTGGTCAGAGCAAGAGATGCGAGAGCCGCTCGCTTTTTCTGCTGGGAGCCGCTCGGCCGCCAATGCCTTAACCTAAGTAACATTACCATGGATATCTTACGCATGTCTCCCCCCTATCATGCCTGCTATTGCGCATACATACGTCCTGTAGTACAGTGCTGCTACTAGGCCTACTAGTCCAGTCTGGTAACACATGCGCATGTCTCTCCTCCCGGCTTAGGCTACTCGTGGCTTGCCGTGCAATCCTAATCCAATTCTATCCAACCATCACTCCTCCTCCTTGTCCTTTTCCCAGGGGGCTGACGAAGATTAATTCATTTCTCCTACTTCCTGCTCTGTTCGGTCTTTATACTCTACGTCTGTCTGTCTGTCTGTCCTTCTTGTTGCGAGACCTCTTTTTTCCTCTCTCTGCAGCTTTTGCAACGACCACTGCGCCCAATTCTTCGATACACGAGATTGCGTCGTCCCTCGATCCCTTGCATGAATGTCAATCAGGTAGTCTGAAAGAAGAGACTTTCAGCAACCAGAGGCCCGCCCGCCACCAACAAGCATCATCAGGGCATTCCCGGGCCGTCACGCAAACACACAACACACTCTCTCACACAACCTGCTCACCTCCCAATGTTACCCGCCGCCATCTCGGTCCGCCGGCGGCGACCCATCCTGACCGTCGTCGGCATCGTCGCCGTACTGACTTTCTACCTGAGCTACACGCGCATGATCTCATCCCCCTTCTCCGTCTTCCAGCCCGCCGCACCCCCCGAGCCAGCCTCGCCTGGCACTGGCACAGGCACTGGCACAGGCACTGGCACAGGCACTGGCACAGGCACCGACGGCAAAACCGGGACCGTCGCCAAGCCGCCCGGCGAGTACCACGATCTCAGAGTCCCCGGCCAGGCTCCCCTGCCCTACCTGTCCTACGGCACGACCGCGCGGCCCGCCATCAAGGGCCTGACGACCATGATCGGCGACCTGCCCGCGGAGCACGTCCCCAAGCCCGGCTCCGGCAAGCGGCTCATCATCGTGGGCGACGTGCACGGCCAGAAGTCGGCCCTCGAGGCGCTGCTCAAGAAGGTCAACTTTGACAACAAGAAGGGCGACCACCTGATCCTCGCCGGCGACCTGGTCAACAAGGGCCCCGACAGCGCCGGCGTCGTCCAGCTCGCCATGGACCTCGAGGCCAGCGCCGTGCGCGGCAACCACGACGACCGCGTGCTCCTGACCGACGCCGCCTCCAAGACGCAGCTCGTCGCGGGCACGGATGGCGACAGCAACGGCGGCGGCGGCGGCGGCGGCGGCGAAGGCGGCAGTGGATCGACTGGCAATGCCAACATCCTCGGCATGACCGAGAAGGACAGTGACGGTAAGGACATCACGAACAAGATCTACGGCGACGAGGCCAAGAAGACCAAGCGAGAGGAGGAGAAGAAGGACGAAAAGGACAAGCCCAAGACGACGGGCGACGTCATGGACAACCTGGAGCAGAACCCCTTCTCGCACGGCGACTACGAGGACCGCGAGACGGCCAAGAAGCTCACGGCGGGCCAGCTGTCGTGGCTGTCGCAGCGGCCCGTCATCCTGCGCGTGGGCACGATCCCCGGCTCGAAGCTGCCGAACCTGGTCGTCGTGCACGCGGGGCTCGTGCCCGGCGTGGCGCTCGAGCGCCAGGACGCGTGGGCGGCGATGAACATGCGGGCGCTCGTGTACCCGATCGACGACGTGCGCAAGAAGGCGGTGCGCGAGTACCTGGAGAAGCGGGCCAAGGACCGCGCCGGCAAGGACCGCAAGCCGGCGCGCGTGACGGACGAGCAGGTCGACAAGGAGCTGGCGCGCCTCAAGCAGCAGCAGCACCTCGAGGTCGACGACCGCACCAAGCAGGTCGCCCTGCCCACCGAGTGGCGCAACGGCGAGGCCTGGTCCACCGCCTGGAACCGCTTCCAGGCCACGCTGCCCGAGGCGGAGCGCTCCGCCGTCGTCTACGGCCACGACGCCCGCACCGGCCTCAACGCCGACAACGCCTACACCTTTGGCCTCGACTCCGGGTGCGTCTACGGCCGCCAGCTGTCGGCCATGGTCATCGAGGCCAAGGACACGTCCGTCGACCACCGCATCATCCAGATCGACTGCGAGGAGTCCGCGAAGGACAGCTGAGGAGCGAAAGCCGAATCGCGAGAAGAAGAAGCCGGTCGCTCGAAAGGAGGACGTCGATCAGTCAAGAGATTTGGGACCTTGACTAGCCACACAACCCATCTATAATTGGCCTACCTTCTCTTTTTTAGTATACGGGATAAGGGAACAGGGATGGATAAGAAGACGGCGGACAGAATCATACCTAGGTACCTGTCTACTAACCTCACCGAGCTCAGCCGAGCTGTATTCACATGGTAGTGTCAGCGAGACAGAAAAAATTTCTGGGAGGAGGCGGGCGTTTTTTTGGACATAATCTGCATTTTGGTACTCGATCTCTTCACCTGGGAACGGGAGAAAGAGAGAGTGAATGTTTTCCATACCCAATCCATGGCATTCAGAGACGTATCAAAGACGTATATACTAAGTTCTGTTTTTCTCTATCCGGCTTAGCTGTATATAATAGATTACCTCTTGCAAGGGCTAAATGGAGGTCTTGTGCTGACATGAATCTGTGAAGAATGTGAAGAGGAGTTGTCACATGCCGCTATCAGGGTTAACAGGACATATCGCTGAGACCGTCACAAGAACGAAGGCAGGGGACAATCAATTTTTGAGGTCATGATTTTTTTTTTCTCATTTACGTAGGTTAGGTAAGGTAGGTATTCTAATGGTTACGACAGACAAAAAGACTTTCGTCGCGGAGGAAAAATCACGCAGACATATTCTCTTCCTCCCAAGCTCGAACCGGCCTCGTCCTCTTCAACACCCAGCAAAATGAGAGAGAGCGGCTGTGAAGGTTATCGAGGCAGCAAGAAGCAATTTCCCTTATTTTTGATATGGGTCATACATGATCCCCGGTATCAACGCCGCCCAGGTGATACCACCCGAATCCAAGTCTATGTAGTCAGTTTCCCATTTATGCGGTGATCTTGGACTTGATGATGCCCTTCAGCGTGACGGCGTCAGCGGCGAACTTGCTGATGCCCTCGCGCAGCTTCTCGACGGCCATCTGGTCCTCGTTGAAGTCGAAGCGGAAGAGGGGCTCGTCGGAGATGTAGCTCTTCTTCTCAATGTCGAGAGACGAGGCAGCAGAGGCGTCGAGCTTCTTGGGGACATCGGCGTCGGAATTCATGAGCTCCTCGAGCAGGTTGGGCTGTTAAAGAAATATCGTTAGCAATCAGAGCAAAGATCAAGCTGGGTAGAGGCAAATCAGAGCATGTCCAAGCATCTCCGGTCCTCGGAGATGTGGCGATGGCCTTCTGCCGGGGTATGCCCAACGTACCGAGATGGTGAGGTAGTCGCAGCCAGCGAGCTCAGTGATCTCGCCGGTGTTTCGGAAGGAAGCACCCATGACGATGGTCTTGTAGCCGTACTTCTTGTAGTAGTTGAAGATGGCCTTGACGCTGGCAACACCGGGGTCCTCCTCCTTGGCGTACTCCTTCTTGGTGTGGGCCTTGAACCAGTCAAGAATACGGCCGACGAAGGGGGAGATCAGGAAGGCACCGGCCTCGGCGGCGGCGATGGCCTGGGTCAGGGAGAACATGAGGGTCAGGTTGGTGTTGATGCCGTGGTCGCGCTGCAGGATCTCGGCAGCCTTGATACCCTCCCAGGTGGAGGCGATCTTGATCAGGATGCGGTCCTTGGAGATACCTTGCTCCTTGTAGAGCTACGGAAATCGTTAGCATATTTGAACATGTGGCTTGTAAATAACAGCCACGCGTTTTTTTATACAAACATACCTCGATAATGTGCAGGGCCTTGTCGACGGAGGCCTTGGTGTCGAAGGAGAAGCGGGCATCGACCTCGGTGGAGACCTTGCCAGGAACGATCTTGAGGATCTCCTTGCCGAACTCGACCAGGAGACGGTCGAGGGCATCATCGACCTGCTGGTCGACGTCGCCGCCCTTTGTCTTGGCGTATGCGACAGCGGAGTCGATCAGCTTAGCATACTCAGCCTTCTTTGAGGCGGCAAGGATGAGGGATGGGTTGGTGGTGGCATCTTGAGGCTTGTACTTGGCAATTGCTGTTGATATGTGTCAGTCCATTGTCTTCTACCCAACAGGGTGTTTTGTCTGCATGGCGCAGAGTCGAGCGAGCAGAAGCAGGAGGTGGGACGTGAGAGAAAAAAGGAGGCAGCTCGACGTCAAATGAGGTGGGGGTGGACTGACATGCAAAATCACCTATTTCCGCTTGTTAGCATTGCGCGAGTCTCGTCATTAGGTGGGATGAGCTGTTGCTTACCAGAGTCACTGACAACGACCTATTAAGAGCAACAATCCACTGGTCAGCAATGTTCTTCCATCATAGCATTGATCGCACAGAGGAGAGGCCAAAGAATCCCCAAGCATTGACAATGCGCGACTTGCCGGGCATTCCTGCTTGGGCTCTGCCAGAGCTCCCCAGGATCGGATCGGATTGGAATGAGGGGTTTCCAGCTTTGGCGGGGTAGTGAAGTGAGGTAAGAGAGGGGACTTACAGTGCCAGAGGCCTTGAGCTGGTCGAGAGAGCTGGGCATGATGGGCTGGATGTGTGATGGAATGGTGAAGCCTGATTGATGATCTACAAGCAGAGACGGAAATGTGTGTATGTTTTGTTTTATTTGTTGGATGGAGAATGGAGAGAGAGAGAAAGTTCGTGAAACGGATTGAGCTGCTGGGTGCTGGCTGGGTGACGACTTTTTACGTTGGGGCGAGCGAGCACGGCGGCGGCGGCGGCGGCGGATAGCAGGACAGTGGACAGTGATGTTACTGGGCAGGGTAATTCTTTCTAGCGGGGCACACCGGCAGGCCAACCCGTCACCGTCACTGCCACTAGACTAACATTTCACTGACTGACTGACGGAACTTCTAGTCAGTTGCAGCGATTTAGCGTCACACATTTGCCTCCTCCCCCAGTTTCCCACTCCCTCATCTCGTCTCTCGTCTCTCATGACGCTGGCCTTACACAATTTTAGTGGTACCTGGATACCTCCCTAGGTAGTGATAGTTTCTGATGATTAAACTGCTGCCCCCCAGAAAAAAATGCCTCTCATGGTTGGTCTGGCCCAAGAAGACAGAAGTACCTTCACTTGTCTTGTAGCCCTTCCTTATAAACAGGCCCGAAGAGGCACACCACCATCCACAATAAATAAAAATGGTGAAGGGTCCTTACTCAGCTGGGCCTGCTGTCAACATGCCTGCCCACGTGGGGTTTGGCCATTGCTCGACGTTATTGGGCGCTGTTTCGCTGGGGATTCCTCATCATACAGTAATTGTAACTGTAACTGTAACCTGTAACACCGTAGGCCAGGTATGAGCTCAAGCCACGGCAGTTTGATCCGCGGCCGTCCTCGACAGACGGTGCCTCAACCCCCCAGCCCCGGAGGCGAGAAACGAGAACTACAATAGCTAGGGGTCTGTATCTACTGTAGGTAAGGACGGATAAGGATGCCTGCACGATCCCATGGTGGGTAGGTGGGAAGTATCAGTCACGAACCTTCTCTTCTTCTCGATGTGCTTCGCCATGCCAATTGCCATCAAATTACATGATTGTCCTCAAAAAAGGTGTTGCACAGTACTTCAACCCGCAAGTAAGTCCCCACAAATTTCCCTCCCGCAGGCGCTCCATTACCTAGGTAGATCTTGGCCACCCGGACCGCTGTAGTCCGGGCGCTTTCGGCCCTGCTTTGTGAGGACACACCTCCCTGCCGGCCCGTCTCTCTCTCTCTCTCTCTCGTCACTGTATTCTTTGCACCTGGGCTGGGCACCCATCGCTGCGCAATTGTCAGTCCACCGCCGGCGCAAATTTTCCGCAAATCTCGCGGTCGACACTCGCCCGCTGCGGTGAGGCGAGAGAACCCTGTATGGCAAACTTGCTCGCTCGTCACTCCTCGTCTACTCCGAGGACTCTAGGGCTTTTTGCTTGTTTTTCATGTTCCAAGGCAGGCAGATCACAGCTTTCGCCATGGAGGCTTATCATAACGAAAGGAGGGGGGAAGCAGAGGGCCCGTAGTCAACCGGACTTAGTCCATACTTGCTGTATATTCTCAGCCTATTTCACCTCCCTATCTGCGCAGAGCGAAAAGCTGGGAAGGTGGTCGTCACGCAGCAGCAGCCTTAGCCTCATGCAACATGCTCACTCGTCTTTTTATTTTCATTTACCCTTTCTAGACCATTGTTCCCGCTAACCATGATTTTCATATTTTCGTTTCGTGCAATGCCTGACATCTCTTCATGACGGTGACAAGATAGGGGGTAAGGGGGAGGGGGCAAAGGGGCAAGGGGGCAAGAATGCGGAGAAGAGGGATCCGGGGAAGGGGAGGCTATCATCCACTACATCACTCCTCACTTCCAACCACTTAATCCTCAGTGAGGTCACCGTACTCCCAGATGCCCAGCCGCTCGTCCTTGGCCTTGCTCTCGGCCTCCTTGAGGCTCTTGAGCACCGGCTCGAACACCTTGCTCTGCTCCCACCGCTTCAGCTTGCGCGGCACCATGCCGTTGCCGCTGGCCAGCACCTCCTTGTTGATCGAGTCCGTGATGCCCGGCCCGTCCGACGACGACGACGGGTCGTAGATGGTCACGTAGCTCAGGCCCTCCTTGGCGTCGACGTAGTCGAAGCTGCCCACCAGCCGCTTGCCCTCCGTGACCTCGTAGATGAACGCCGTCGCGTCCCGCAGGTAGTCCGGCGCCGTCGGCAGCTGCACAAACGACAGCGACGCGTCGATGGCCTGCGCCTTGAGCTTCTGCGTCGTGAACTGCGCCTGGTCCAGCGGCCGCAGCTTCGCCCAGGGCTGCTTCTCCGTGTTGCCGTAGTCAATGTAGACCACCTCGGCCACCTTGGCGGCACGGTCGTTCGACCGGATGCGGGCCCGATACCACTGGCCGTCCTCGGTGAATTTGGCAGCAACAAAGTCGCCCGCCTTGGGGTTGTCTCCGATGGACTTGCTGTTCTTCGGGTCGATGTGGAAACGCTTGAACTCGGACATCATTGTCTCGAGAGCCGCTGTGCCCTTGCCGACCTCCTGGATCTTCAGCTTGCCATTGCCGTCGATGTTGGTGATGACAATGTTGCGGTAGTCCTCAGGCTTCTTGTCAATAGACGGAGCAGAATCGTTTGCTGCCTCAGCTGGTGCAGTCTCCTCCTCGGCCTCCTCATCCTGTGACGGGTCCCAGTCTTGCCACAGCGCCTTCCTTGCCTCCTTTGCTCTCTTCTCTGCAGCATTCAGCTCGGCGGCGTTGCCGGACTTCTCTGCAGAGTACTGGTGCACTGACGCCAGACCTTCCTCCACCAGGATCTTGGCAAAGCTCTCGCGGTTGATGTAAAGATCGCCAATGAAGCCTCCCACCTTGTCGATATCGTGAATGTCAACCTCAACGTCTCGCTGGTTGCAGCGCTTGTTGGCAAGATCAAGAGCCTCGTTGCCGAACGGCTCGCCCTGCTCCTGTGGCGTACGGCCCGCTCGAGGAGCTCGGATTCCAGCGAGGACCAGGGTCAGCTTGACGCCCTCGCGGGGGATCAGAAGCGTGAAACGAGAGCCGGATTTGCAGAAGTCGACAACAGCCGGGATCTTGCGTTGCCGCTGCAGAGTACCCAGCTGTATTTTCGCCTTCTGCACACTCTCGGATGCGTCGACCAGGGTCTTGCGCTTGGGGGGCTTTCCGGACCAGAAGCCCTTCTTCTCCTCCTTCGCAGTCTCCTGGGCGGCAAGAAGCTCGTCGTAGTTCGATGCCCTGTCGGTGTCGTCCTTGCGATGTCGGATGACAGAGGCGAGACCCTCCTGGACCAGCAGCAGGCCCACGTTCTTTCCACCCTGGGTCACCGTCGCTACGTCACGGGCCTCGAAATCCTCGGTGGCAGCCTTGGATCCGTCAATGGTGACGCGCACATGCTTGCCGATGATCTTCTTTCGCAGAAACTCCTTCGCCTCGTCCCTGAATGGTGCCTCTGTTGCCTCGTTGGTGCGAGGGCCACGGACACTGCTGAGGTTGAGCCTCTTCTCGACACCGGCCTTGTTTCGAACAATGATTGTATCAGCGCCGATGATCTTGGAAACGGTCATTTCGAGGTCCTTCCCATCAGTAGCCTTGGAGACATGGTGCTTGTGGAGACGCAGCTTAGCGCCCTGGGCCTTCTTCTCAGCAGCACGTAGCGCAGCCATCTGGTTGCCGAGAAGGGTGGAGTGGAAGTCATTGCATCGTGCGAGGCCGTCTTGCAGGAGGAATTCGGCAATATTTCCACGCGGGTGAAGAACCGTGGCAATCAGCTGACCCTGCGGACTGGCTCCAACGATCTGGATCTTAACCTGCCTCTGAAGCAGCCTCGTCTCGACGAAAGAGCGAGCCTCATTGCCGTATTCCTCGGCAGGCTGGGTCTGGCCCGTAGACTGCACCGTCCTCTCGGTCGCAGGGGTGCGGATGCCGGCAATGAGCGTCATGGTCTGCAGGTGCTTTTTCTCCGAGAGCAGCAGTCGAACAAGCAGGCGGTCGCCGCTGAATACTCGCTCAATGATGCCATCGACGGTCTTGCCCTTCCACTCGCTGAAGAACTCCTGGCCGGGGGCGTCGTTCTGCACTTCAATCATGCCACCGGTGCCAGCCCACAGGCCCTTACCCTCACTCTTTGCTTTCGTCTCGAGTTCTCGGAGCTTCTCGAGCCGCTGCAGGACCTCCTCGTCCTCCTCCTTCTTACCCGCGTCTTCGCGAACCTTCAACCATCCGGCCTCGATCAGCGCATCAGGGAATTGAGTACCGTCCTGCAGCTGAGCTGTGCCATACTCTCGCTGGGAGGTTGGCACAGTGTACAAGATCTTGCACTGGATTGCCTTGCCAACGGTCAGATTCCTCAAGAAGTCCCTAGACTGGAAGGCGAAGGGCTCGTCGCCATCCTTGCTTAGACGCGGAGCATGGACGAATGCGAGAGAGAAGGTACGCTCGGCCGAGGGGTTGCTTGGGCTGGTGAGGATCAAAGTGTCGCCGCTCAGTACGGACTTAACGTTGGCAAAGAACGTCTTCGACATGTTTGATAGCCCGTCAAGCGCTTCGGGACGTCAACCTTGGTGACAAAGGAGAACTAAATGGGAGTTTCTAAGTCGTTGTTAGCCATATGGCGCTAAGCCAGTATTCTACAGCTCGAATGTCATCCATGTTTTATCTCAGCCTTGAAGAGACTGTTCTCTTTAAGGGGAGAAATAGGATGAGCTATCTTTGAGAGGGGTGGGACGAGAAGCGATCTGAAGCAAAAATAGGTAACCGATATAAACTTCAGCCGAATATATCTGAAAAGAATCCCAATAGTTTAACTTCCTGAGGCCTCTCTGAAGAGTCTGTTATCCCCAAGTGAATGTAGGAAATAAGCTACCCAGCTGCTATCAAGCTTAGGAGATAGCTTCTGAGAGATAATCCTCAAGCTTCACCTCAAGCCTTATATAAAGGACACAAGCACTTGCTCAAGCTTCATTGAAGCTATAAGGTGATAGCATAAACAACTGCCAAATAGATCATCAAAGAATCCCAGGATATCTTGAACTCTTTTGAATCCGAGAACCATCGCAACCGGGTGACAGCATCAGACCCATATTTCTCGACTTGTAGTGAGTCGGTGAACCAGCAGAGACCGGGCATATGCAGTATCTTGAGGTAAAAAGAAAGATGATGAAGAGTAGAACAAGGAACGGAAAGATACATACACTTATGTGAACAGGAAAATGCAACCTGCAAGGAACGTGAGTTTTCGACGATGATGCTAAGGAATGTTTTTGCCAAAAAAGGACAGCACGACAGGTGGGAGGTCAAGTCAGGCGAGATTTAGTAAGGAGAGCTGTTAGAGGTAGTGGCACGTGTGGAGAGAGAAAAGGAGGGGAGCTATGACTTAAAGACGACCCAAGTCAGTACCTGAGGTAAGATAGTCGTAGTCGTGTGCTTTTTTGACAGATGTTATCATTTATTTGGATTTTTGTGGTCTGCGGCTCGATTTCTACAGGGGAAATGGTGCTAGTGTGGGGTAATCCAATTGCTGGCCCGGCTGGGTTTCCAGGGACCTTCCAGGCAGGGGTAAACACCCATTAAGCGAGCAGATGGCCGTCGAAACAGGAGGGGTAGGTAAGCTTGCCGCTTGTTAGGGCCGCTCCTCAAGAGCTATCTTGCGGTTGGTTGACACCTCCCCAATTTTGGTGGCGGAATGATGTCAGAAATATATCACACATGGTCGGGGTCATTGGATGACTAGATTCAGACGACTTGAGATTTGGAAATCCTTTGAAAGCCATGTCTACAATTTGCTGAGTTGTCCTGGGTGGTTTAACATCATCAAGGGCGGTTAATGGGGTAGAAGGCTTTCTATCCAGAGCTTAGTTGAGGCGGTGTGTCTGCAAGTGTGGACATAGTAAAGCAACCAAGGGACTTTTTAGACTACAGGCTTTATATTCGTCCAAGCTTCCTTCGTTTGACAACCTAAGCTACTTTTCATAAACACTAGGCGCTACTGCAGTATAGGCATTGTCTCGGGTGCTTTTGTTAGCCTGCTCTTCTCTTCGCTGGGGATATGTCCAATCTACTGGGAGATGCCAATGACACCGCAAGCCGGTCGGGGACCAGCGTTGCCGGTCTTGAGGGACTCCTCATTGCCTCCCTTGCCGAGGTCATCAGTGCCACCGTGGACGACGACGGTTCGCTATAAGCCTCGTAGTGAGCTTATGTGTCCTAAAGCAGGCAAATACATATGGAAGATACTTACGCCAATGACGCTCTCGGGTCCGATCAGCTTGATGAGTTTGTCGGAGACAGAGCCCTTGCCATTGCCCTGGGCGTCGGTCTCGAAGTTGCCGAGGTCACCAACATGGCGGTTCTCGTCGGTTGGGGCACCGTGGGTCTTGCCGTGAGGGTTGACTATCGGGACGCCGTGTTAGCTACTGTGGTCGGCCCGGACATATAAGGCTGCCGGAAACCAAGAGCGGCAGATCCGGGGGTCGTTTGGAAGGGGGTTCCAACTCACAATGCGGGCCGGCGGAGGTGCAGCCGTTGGTGTTGTCACCGAAGGTGTGGATGTGAATGCCACGCTTAGCATTGGCGTCGTTGCCGGTGATGTCCCATGTGATCTGCGTAGGGGCAGACTCGGAGGCCTGCTCGAAGGTAACGGTACCGGAGACCTTGGAGTCACCACGGACGACTGCGACTGTAGACAAACAGCATCAGCGTACTGCTACATGTAGAGGAGACAGCAATGCAGTGGACACAAGTGAAGAGCCTCATGTTGAACTCCTCCTCTTCATTGGATACGGGAGAGGAGCTTATGCCGGGGAGATCGATGGCGCGCGTGGATGAAGCCATCAAGGTGCTCCCATCAAGCGGGAAATGCTCTCAATCCAGCTCAATGAACCCCTCCTTTGGGAACGCGATCTGCTGTGGTGGGTGGCCCAGGGACGAAAGGGAATAGCGGGGTATCACAGCGGGGCGTATACATACCTGCCTTGACCATTTTGACTTGATGGATCTAATGGATTGCTTCGTGAATGAGTTCTAGATGGCAATGGCTCTGGTTTTGCGATGGATTACAGAGGAGATCTTGTAGAGTTTTTCGGAAAGGGGATCAACTGAGGGGGAAGCAGAAGAAGCAGTCGGAAATCCGAGGACGCTGAAGGTGGGGTTAGCGCATTGCATCACTCACCCGGTCTCTTATTAGATACCCGCCGAGCTCGTCGGGCCTAACAATTACCTTAACTCCTCCCTCCTTGTCCTCCTCCTCCAATTGCTCTTGAAGAGACACACCTACACAAGATTGACAGGTCCTGCTGAAGGAGCTCGCTCCAGCTTGCCCCGCTCGACATCATCGCCATCCCGCTGCCGTCATCTTTGCTACTTCTACTGCAACGGCATGAGGGGCGCTTACAAATGATCCTGCCAGCCGATTCGTCGCCCAGAACCTGCCACTTCACATATAATTTGTGATGCCGATGTTCGGCTCGGGACTTTGACACATGGCAGAGCGCGAGGCCGATGTCTCATTTCCTGAAGCGACTTGACGCCTTAATGGAGATGGGACGGAGATGAGCGTCACGATAACTTATTAGCTAGCCGGAAGCTCCATCTTTCTCTCAACGTTAGGTTATCCCCAAGTCGTCCGTCCCGCTCTCAAGCGCCGGCCCGCAACAAGTCTATCCGAAAGTCGCCTCTATAATAAAGTCACACATAACCGTATACAGTAAAAGAATGATGGCTATATATAGGACGATCGCAGGTATACCTAATGAGCTTTCTAATTGAGGATTGCCGCGACATGATGCTCCCTCCATCTTTCTTGTTGCATGGGGCCTCGGCTCCTACTTTTAGGTTCATGGGCAATCCCTCGTCCCATCAATGCGTAATCCCACGACGAGCAAAGAGACTCGGATCTTCCCTTACGTCGTGCAACAGCAAGGAATAGTCTTAGATTCATAATATCTTCCTAGCGACTCGTCGCTGTTCTGGCCATCTCACACTGAGTCGACATCAATGATAAATCATTCGACCCCGGCATAAATGACAACTTGGAATTAATTCAATCACGAGCCAGCTTAATACTCTTTGAGTTCCTCATCCCTCAGAATCTAAGAGTGGCAGGACAGACTTACCATCGCCCGACTTTGGCCATCAGCGGAAGGCATATTATCAAAGTCTCACAACCAGCGTACCAAGCAGGTTTGAAGGTGTGGCTTAGCCGTGTAAGTGCGTAATGACTTCGGTGTGAGCGACATCAAACCCCAGTCGGGGTATTTGCTGCGATGGCCAAACTGTGGCGTAAGGCTACAGACTCCAGCAAGGCATTACGGTGTAGAGCGAGGTCTGATCGGCTTCCAAGGTCAGAGTTGATTAATTACTTGGTCAACAAGGCGCACAGGCTTCTCTCTGTGGACTTTCCAACCCCAGACTGCCATCAGGGGGCCGGAAGTGTCGAAACGATGTTTCAAGGGTGGTCGAAGGAGTTGGCCCCTCACAGACCCGAAAACGCGGTAAGCTCTGGGCCGTCTCACAACTCGCGGCGCCGAGACGATAAGTTTAAATTGTCAATTTCGACTCCAAGTGTATATATCATCAATTACGATGATCTAGATGTGTGGTGAATAAGCAAAAGCCCACAGCCATGAGAGACGAGTCGGGGCTTGACACGGTTCCAGCCGTTCTTGTGTGGCTGCGCCTGGGACTCACTTTGACGGTTCTGATTCGCCTCAAGCTGGACAGGATAGACCGGCAGAATCAGCCTTGGGGGGCCAGTGCCCACACAAGATCTGGGGGCCGAAAGACCTTCAACTGGAGCTCCTGTACTAGAGCTGCGTGACACTGACATCCTCAGGTAGAGATGAACTGTCCTACCTTACCCAATCTCTCCTCGTGGCTCGAAGGACGACTTACTGGGCTCCTCTGAGTGATGAAATTGTGTTTTTTATTGCTGGATCGACACTAGAGGAGATACGTTGACTTCTGTGATATTTGTGACGGACAGCGCATATGATGGCCGGAGGTATTCGTAACAGGGCCAATTGATCGTCGACGTATCTTATGGTAGAGAGCAGGGAGGGAGCTTAGGCTGTTATGTTGTAGATCTCACGAGACTTGCTGCTAGGACGGCGGAATACGCTTGCATCCCTCCCTATGCAGCCAGCGCCAACGCCGCACGAGTACAGTACCGTACCGAACCCGTCAGGCATTCATGTGTAAGGTAGTCCAGCATGAGCCAAGGTCAGTCGCTTCATGTACGTGGTAAACGGGCGACGTTGTGCGTATTCCTGGAGAGACAATCACACAGACAGATAGACATGGTCAGCTGCTGCAAGTGGCTCGCCAATAACTAACAGCAGCGTAAAGAATACGGGAGGGACCTCCCTCCAAGAAAGTGCCAAGCCCACTGGTGCCTCATTTTCGCGAGCGAACCACCAGCCCAGCACAGGACCAGCACAGGACCAGCACCAGGTAGTTAGCACCCCCGGTGGCAGCAACCCGGCGTCTGCCTTCCCGCACCGCACACCGTGACAAAATATCTGATTGATGCCCCATCTCCTCTTATCCCGCTTTCCCGTCGGATACTCTGTCATTTTTCGATCGAAACGATAGCGGATAACGAGTTTCGACTAACACAGAATCGAGGACTGTTGCGACGCCGACGCCGAGAGCCAAGCAGCCAGCCGAATCCCACATAGCAAGGCTCCCTCCTCAGCTGAGGTCATATTGCGACGATCTTTCTTTGCCAGCTCAACTCCTCGCGACTCTTGACCTCACCAAACACCAGCCGCCCTAACCAACCGCTAAACCGACCTTACAACGGGCGAAAAGCACGCGGTCCATTCCCCTAACGACTTCCATTGCCAACAATCCTCTTTCTGCGTGCATAGACATCATTTTGATTATCCTGTGGGTTTGGGGATGGTCCGCTGAGCGACACCTACCTCACAACTCCACCTTCGCGGATGTCCTGTCCGACGACCTGAACCAACCTCGAGCCGGCCACGGCCGCTTCTTAAGACTGCCGCCTTCATCAGACACATTCCAAGTGCTCCTCCTTTGCGATGTCCTTCAGAGGCGATGATCAACGGCGATACGGCCACGTACCGCCTGTACAGTATCCCGTCGCGAATCAAGACCAGAATGCATATTTGCCGAGGCGGCCGAGTTTCAACAATGGCGACGACTCCGCATTTTTCGATCAAGGCCAGCCCCAGGCAGGAGAGGTCCGCGGTGAAGACGAGCTCTTCCTAACGAGCCCAACCGAAGGCCAGAGGACCAATTACGGCAACTCGAATGCGGCAGCTGCCGGGTATCAGCATCAGTACCAGCCTCAGGGTCAGACACCTCCGACGCCGTCGACATACAATCCCCAAGTCTTCGCGAGATCGCAGTCGACATCTTTGCCATACCATCCTAACCCGGCAAGGTATGCCTCTCCGCCAACGACGACGACGACTGGCTACGCCCCGCAACCCACAAGTTATACCCCCGCGACCTATGACCCGTCCGCCTACGCCAGCGTGACTATGCCCCAACGACAAGCGACATACCACGGACTCAACAACTATGCTCATAGCTACAGCTCGCCAGCTGTTCCTCAGACATCCGGTTCTTTTGGACAGCCCCAGAACTCGATATACAGCCCGACACTATCTCAGCCAGCGCAGTCTCCGCAGCTACCGACACCACCAGCGCAATTCAACCAGGCTTTGCCAAGTCCTCAGTTTGCAACAACCTCCGGGCCGTCGACGATATCGTCCCAAACCTCATATGACCCATCCTACGGGAACTATACTCAGAATTACTTCACTGGCTCGTATCAGTCAAATGGCAGCAACCCCGCGCCCACTGCGGCATACAATGCACCTACTTCACAAGCACCTTACCCGACCTATTCGCAGATTCCTGTCGGACCAAACTACTCTACTTCGGATCCGAACTCTTTCATCAATAGGGCATCAAGATCAAATTCTCAGACTTCCCCAATGCCCTCGCCACCAGTGCATTCGTCGTCTTCACCAGGATTGCAGAGACACCCGACAAATGCCCCGCTCCCCAGCCGGCCCATGGCTGATGTACCAGAGGAACCAGATTGGGATCCGAGCTCGAGAGACGACGAGTATTCTCAAGAGCATGTGACCCAGGATAGCCTCATCAACGATATCGTCACTGATCTGGGCGTTTCGGCTAACACCCAACGTCCTAGACCTATCAATGGCAACTTGTCCGATGATGACTTGGACAGGCTGCGCCGGTACGATTCCACCGCATCAACCCTCCCACCCGGCGCAGACGGGTCAGGCGTCAACCGATATGCTTCGAACGCCTCAACACTGAATCGTAATAATTCGAGCTACGACTGGGATGATGACGAGAGTGATCAGGAAGGCGCGGCTGGGGTGTTGCTCATGCAGCAAGACGAGATGAACGACCGGCGGTTCAGCACTGGCGTAGGATTCTCGTACCCCGGAGACCAGGCAGCTGTGCCATCTTTGCCCACGCCGTCTCTACCCACTCCGGCCGAAGAGCAGGTGCCGAGTAGCGATAGTGATTTCGGTGCGATGGATATTGGCTTGTTTAGCGGTGGCTATGCAGGCAATCTGACGTACGGTAACGATGTCGGTTCTCCGCCGCCAACGGCATCCACACAATTGGGCGAGGAGGGCCGACGGCTACCCACACCACGAAGTGGAATGGGCACGTATGAGACCGACCCGCCATATCCCAATTATGATGCCGAGGTTGACTATGGTGGAACTGGCGGCCTGCAGGCGCCTGGCCAGCATCGACTCAGTTTCGATGAGGGCGAGGAGCGTGTCTCAGTCCACTCGCGAGCGAGTGGCAGCGAGTCACCCTACAAGGAGGACTATCCCGACATGTTTTACCACCCTGGTCTTACAAACAGACCGCTACCAGCATTGCCGCCAGCATCTGATAGCAGTTCGTTGCTTTCGGTACAAATCCCAGGCAACCGGGGGCCGTATCAGCACAGTTACTCTTTGAGCGCGGACTCTCGCCCGTACCGTGCTGAGGCTCCCGACGCATACTATAGTCAGCAGCAATTGACGCAACAGCAGCTAGTTGAGAGGTCAATATCACTCTCAAGCCATAGTAACACCCCTCAGGTACAAATTCCCGGGCGTTCACGAACCGATGCAGCAGAAGAGCGGAAGAGGTTGTTGAAGACCCAGCAACAACTCGCCGTTCGGGAGGATGGATATGATACCGGAACTCCCTCGTCTGTAACATACGATGCCATTACTCTTCCAAGTGGCCGAAGGAAGAAGTTCATCCCATCCAAGCTCAGTTCATCTGATATTCGAAAATGTACTGAGCCCTGGGCGCTAAGCGGCATTGCGAACTGGATTCGTGAGATGGCTGAGGGCGAACCAGATCTGAAGAGGAAAACGATTGAAGAAGGGCTTATCAAGCTATTCTCATCGAAAGTGACTACCATGAACATTGCAGATGCTGAAACACTCAGTGCAATGGTTGTCGACCGAATGTTCGAGGCCGGTATATTACAGCCGGAAGAAGAATGGGTCAAGTTTGGAACTGGAGAGCTGTCCGGTGTTTTATGGCAACTAACCGGTTCCGGTTGCTATGCTCCGAAATTGCATGATACTGAAACTCCCGGGCGTTGTTATTCACACCATTGTACAAGGACGCTGAAGAAGGCCAATCTTGATGAGCTGATGTCGGAGGAGTCGGTCAAGAAGGAGGACTGGGTCACATTCTACAAGGTTACGGCCACGACGATACAAGGTAAAGATAAGAAGGAGGTTGAGAGGCAAAACATCCTTCATGAAATTGTCACGAGTGAGGAAGATTACATGAACCAGCTCGATGTCGTTCGATTATTATACCGAGATCAACTTCGAGCATGGCAGCCACCGATCATTCCGCCTAATCGACTCGATGCATTCATGGACTCAGTTTTCGGCAAAGTTGAACTTGTTCAGAGCGTCAACAAGGAATACCTGCTAGCCCAGTTGAAGTATCGTCAGAACGAGCAGGGCCCCTTCATCAGCGGCTTCAGCGATATCTTCAGAGAATGGATCCGAAAGGCGCGGATAGCCTACGTGGAGTATTCTTCAAGCTACCCAATGGCTCAATATCACATTCGCAACGAGGCCGAACGGAACATGCTTTTCCGCCAGTTCTTGGATCATGTTCGCGGCCACAAGCGCTCAGAGCGTCTCGGCTGGGATACATTTGTGAAGGCACCGATTACTCGCTTGCAGCGGTATACTCTACTTCTTTCGACAGTCTTGAAGAACTCGATTCAAGAAACTGAAGAAAAGGTCAATCTCGTTAAAGCCATCGATGAAATCAAGAACGTCACATTGGAATGCGACAAGATAGTCGATGAACAGAAGAAGAAGGTCGAGTTAAAGGAGCTTCAACGAACCCTAGTTCTGCGACCCGGTTTCCAGTCGGTACTCAATCTCGATCACCTTGGAAGGCAGTTGATCCTGCAGGGTGACCTCCAGAGGATGGGTTCCAAGGGCGTACGATGGGTAGACACTCATGCACTCTTGTTCGATCATTACTTCATCCTCGCAAAAGCTGTTGCGTCGAAAGATGGTCGAGGAGACAAGAAGTATGATGTGTCCAAAGAAGTATGTCTTCCTTATCTTCCAGCTTATAAATGAATGCTAACAACTACCTTAGCCCATCCCTATGCCCCTCCTCTTCCTTGAGAGCATGAATGATGACCCAGTATCCAAGCAAAAGGGTATCACGGCACCATTGGCTCGAACAACTGCTGCTGCCTCTGACACCAGGTTGAACAAGGTTGCTTCTAATGGAATTGACCGTCCCGGCTTGGAACACACTGCAACGAGTTCGTCAATGGGGTCTTTGAACACGGTTACGCGCCTGCCTTCATCCTCAACTGATGCCGAAGGAAAGATTCTGTACCCTTTCAAGGTTAAGCACCTTGGCAATGAAGTGTACACGCTCTACGCGACAACTCCCCAGAGTCGCCAAGAATGGTGTAATAAGATCATCGAGGCAAAGACGCGGCACGCTAGAGCCCTGCAAAGTCAAAACGCAGAGCCATTCAAATTACGCATTCTAGCAGATGGTGCATTTGCCTATGACTCGGTTTCTGCTATCGGCAAAGGAGCTGGCGTCTCTATCCGCGGAACACCTCTTGACCGGGCAATACGAGACATGGAGCGAGTATATGGACCAGGACGTGGACCGCCTCCTGTATGCCGAGCTCAAGTCAACTGTGCGACCGCCTTCTCCGCGTATGGAAAGTCTATCATCGCAATTGGAACAGATTTTGGTGTCTTCATTTCCGAGGCATCGAATCCTCGTGGCTGGACCCGAGTAAGTCGTTCTACTTTTCTTTTTATATATTGATGCTAACTCTCCCTAGTCTGTCCAAATTAATCGCGTGTCGCAGATCTCCGTGCTTGAGGAGTTCTCCGTTTGTCTCATCATTGCGGACAGGTCATTAATCGCGTATCCTCTTGACGTGGTAGCACCTGTATCTAATTTCCCGGCTCCCATCCATGACAATCCTCGCAGAGCACCCCAGAGGCTGGCCAAGGATGTCTCATTCTTTGCCACTGCCCGCATGAAGGAGCGAATGCTTCTCTTCTACAAGCGGAAGGAGGGAATGCACAACACCTTCAAGGTGCTCGAGCCGGTCTTCCAGAAGGCGACGGAGAAGAAACCGCGCATTTTCGGTGGCCGTAAGGGTGGTGCCGGAAGCACAGAATCTTTCCGCGACTTTGACGAGTTCTACCTCCCTGTGGAGTGCTACTCGCTCAACCTCTTCCAGACGTATATTGCTGTTGCAACAGCCAAGGGCTTTGAGATGTTGACGCTCGACAAGAAGCAGACGATGTCTGTCCCGAGCGGACTCAATCAAGCTGCTATCGCGAACATTGCTAACCGCATTCGCGACCAGCGGCCCTTAGGCATGTTCAGGCTTAATGACCAGGAGTATCTCCTGACCTATGAGGACTGCGCCGTATACGTGGATAAACACGGTGAGGTGTCGAGAACCCTCATCATGGAGTACTCAGGCAAGCAGAAGAAAGCGAGAGGGGCAACAATGTTTGGACAGTATTTGCTCCTCTTTAATGAGGACTACGTGGAGGTCCGTAATGCCGAGAATGGTCGGCTGCGACAGATCATTGCCGGCCGAGATGTGCGCTGCCTAGACTACGGCTTTAGAGGACCGACCGGCCACAACTCGCCGCAGAACCTGTACGGCAACCAGCCTGGCCTAGGCCAGGACTCGAAGGGCACGGTTAAGATATCCATGTCGCATCCCGAAGTGCCGGGCATGCAGATCGTGCTGGAGATGCTTCTTAACGATGGGCACTCCGAGAAAGCATGAAACGAGCAATAATCATGAACGATGACGGGGCGGTTGAAGAGTGCGGACTAATAGCTGAATGGATATCAAATGGGAATGTGAATGATTGGATGAATCATGAGGAACGGGACCCTCCTTCTGACTGGATCTCTCTCGAAGTTTTTGTTTCTCTTTCGTCTTTTTTTCACTTCTTATCACTGGCAAGGCGTTTCGGGGCGGTGGTGGAAGGGACAGAAGGATTGAAAGTTTTCGCCATCTAGGATTTTGAAAGGACGGCGGCTTTCTTCTCTCCGTGAAATACTACGCTACCTACGTATGTGTGCGCGCACTTATTTGTCTGGTCGATCTCTTGATATCGATGTGTATAAGATGGATGGACGGATGGATGGAATGGTATAGCTCCTCCTTGGCCGAAGGAAAGGCCTGTTTCAATACCCAATTTTATGAATTATTCTGCCAACGCAGTGACTACATGCCTCCATTGAAGGGGACTTGTGAGTTGCCAAGAGTCCATAGTCTTCGCTCATCTCTTCGTTTCGCGCTGGCACGTAGCTAGTTGGGTTGTGTTGCCTTAGCGTGATGCTATAAAGCGGTCGGATTGTGAGGCCAATCTGACCAGGTTTATAAGAATTAACTAGCGGCCCTTTTTCATTGACAAGCGCCAGTGGTTTAGTGGTAAAATCCATCGTTGCCATCGATGGGCCCCGCGTTCGATTCGCGGCTGGCGCATTTTTGTCTCTTTGGAAATCAAATGCTCCGTGTTGTGCAAGATCCTTCATACCTCGTTGTCTTTTTGATACTCCCTGGCACATACTTTGCAGGGCACTCGAAGTCGACGATGTGGTTGTAGCTAGGTCATTTTATTTTTTGGTCTTTCGTGATTCTTTACTGCTTCTCGATCTGCTGCGGGCTCTCTAGAGCATGGTCCTGATCCATCTTTGGCTGCTCAAGCAACATAAATTTAGCCATCGCCGTTCTACAGCAAATATATCGATCATGCGCCGTGTCGCGAATAGGTAGGCGTTTCATATCCTTCTCAAACCCTGGGAAAGATGTCCCATTGCGTCCCATACCCCTCAATGTTATTTCTGCACATCGAAGTCGCCAGCTGTGACGGATTGTGAGCCTGGCTTAGGCTCCCAGCAGGGGATGATGGAGCAGAAGTCCTCTGATTGCAGGGACAGCTCGGTTATTGAGGTCGGATGTCTTGGGCTTCCATTTCTGTCTACCAGACTGCCGAGGTCGTTGAGAGGTACAAGCTTCGCATCGATATCGGCGCCGTGGTCATGCAATAGCAGGACGACATCGTTCTCGGGGTGGTCGGCGGCTCCAGCCTCGTCTTTAGACAACCGGATGAGACTTGCTGTCTCTTGTCGACGCGATAGGGCGTTCCAGCCTACCTGGTGGACGCGGAGCAATGAATCCGGCGGGAAGACTTCCCGGATCACTAAGCCCGGATTGATGTTGGAGATGCCATGATAGGTGATGTTGTTGGCCGGCCACCTCGAGCGGGGATCAAGGAGAGATCGCTGAATATAGATGTTCAAGACTTGTTCTTGCCACTTGTTGTGCAGCGGTCCTGATCTAGAACGAGCGATTGATGTCCACTCTCCGAAAGAGACGTCGCCATCTCCCCAAGTATGGGATAAAATGGCGTACTAGGGTATATTGTCAAAGAACTGCTCCAATAACAGGCTCTTGACGTTAAGAAGCCACATATTGGCGATATACCGTGGTGCGGCTCCAGATCTCAAGTGTTGGGCGAGCTGTATCGAGGTGATCGTGGTCGCGAAAGGTAGCTCTGGATTTGGCGTCAGAGTATTCAGAGCTCTTCAGAAACCAAAAGGCATTTAAAAGGTGAAAGGAAGGTGGTCGGAGCCTAAGGTGTAGCTTTGTTTCCAGGCTTTAGCAACGGTCGCTACCTAAAAGCAAAGTAAACAAATTTTTATCATATGATTGAGACGAGGTTATGGTCGCTATTCCTTCTCATACATAGAATACCCCGTCATCTTACAATACTTAGAGTTACGATCTAAAGAGGAGGTATTCATTGAGCTTACTATCGATGAATCCATCTGGCCTGTCTGATATAAGACAATTCCGGTAACTTACATGAGGTTATTCGCGATAACAAGAGCTCAGCTTGTTACCATCAAAAGAGAGTTGACGGCCAATCTCAACTCAACTTACTGAATGATTCTTGCTGTAGAAACAAGCAACAGTCAACGATCAGCAACCATGTAATTGCCTCAATCTCACGAAGACTCATAGCGCTATCTAGTTGTTCCATACGGATCGGACCTAATTCCAAGTGCCGGGGCATAGCTCCTGCGGTCGCCTCCAGGGGTTCGTCTAAACGCAATCGGAGTCAAGTCCTCTCCCTGTCCGTCCATCACTCACTCTCCAGTGCGCCATCGAAGACATGTTGAACAACGGCGGTAAATTGATCATAGATATGTCACTTGAACCAGCAAACAGTGAGGGACTTCAGAATGAATTGTTCAAAGTGGTCTTGCCATATATTACTATTACTACAGACGACATCCGCCAGGGGTATATACTTCTTTCCCGCACTCTCTTTTTTCCCTCACTTCCATCCACCAAGACAAGTCGGTAGAAAGGCAAGACACTTTCCTCCTCCTCTCCCTGCTATATTCGGGGGCTATTCTTCTACCCACTTATTATGGGGGAAAGAATGCCGGCAGATGCGTTACAAAAATGTATGTGCCACAGTGTTGTGCATGTGTATGATATTTTTGATAAAAACCCAAGACCACCGTAAATGCTATGTCGTTAAGGATCGTAAGAATGAGACGTTTTAAATGTGGTGGTTGCTGTTGTCTGTAAAATGCAAGGCTATTGATACACGGGATGAGCTTCCCTTACTTCCGCCCCCTTCACGCTGCAAAGCTCAACTACAGAGCAGCAACGAGAGCCATGACGGCGAGACCAGCCAGGCCGAAGCCAGTGATCTTGTCGCCACCGCTGACGACGACCTGGGAAGGTGTCGGTGTGGGGGTGAAGAAACCAGTGCCAGTAGCGACACCGCTGCTGACGGGAGCAGCAGTGGTGAAGCCAGTCTCTGTGACAGCGCCGGTCTCAGCCGGGCTGGTGGCAACAGGAGTGTAGCTGGTGACAGGAACGACGCCAACACCGCCGCTGGGGGCAGTGGTGAAGCCAACCTGGGGCACAGTGAGGGTGGTGCTGACAACAACGGTGGAGCTGGAGCTGGGGATGGTCTCGCCAGCAGAGTTGGTGCAAGGAACAACAGTGGTCTGCTCGACAGTGACGGTCGTGTAGACGGCGCTGGGCACAGAAGTGGGAGCAACAGTGATGTAAGTAGTCACAGTCTCAGCACCAGTGGCAATGGCCGGGTTGCCAGGGATGTAAGGAGCGCAGATACCCTGGAAGAAGATGACGGCCTCAGAGACGATGGTGTCGGTCTCACCATATGAGTACAGGCAGGAGAAGATGTTCTTGACGAAGATCTCATCGGGGCAGTAGCAAGAAGCATCAGTGTTGTCAGAGCAGCCAGTGGAGAAGATCCAGGTGTTCAAGCACTTGGGCACAACAGTGGGGCAGGGCAAAGTCTCGGTGGGACCAGCAGGAGAGGTCTCAGTGGCAGTGGCGCTGGCCTTGGTCTCAGTCTCGGTGACGGGGCAGATGGTGGTGGAAACGGGCACCAGCACAGTCGTGACGTGGGTTGAGTGGGCCGGGCAGTTGGTGACAGTAGGAGCGCAGCTCGTGATGGTGGAAACAACGGTGCTGAAAATAGTGGAGGTGGTCAGGACCTCGGTGGATGAGGTGGTAGACTCGACAGCAGCAGAGCTGGTGGTCTCGACCTCGGCGCTGGTGGTGCTGTTGGCGAAGATAACAGAGGTGGTGGCAGCAGGAGCAGAGGTAGTCTCAGCCTCAGCAGTGGTGGTGGTCTCGACGGCGTAGGAGGTGGTCTCCTCGGCAGTAGTAGACTCGGCAGATGTGGTCTCGACAGCGGATGTAGTCTCAACGGCAGTGGTGGACTCAGCAGGGGAAGTCTCTACTGTGGTGGTCTCGGCCGGCGATGTTGTGGTCACCTCCTCAGCAGAAGTGGTAGTAACCTCAGCAGGAGAAGTAGTGGTGGTAGTCTTGGGGGGCTTGGTGGTGGAAGCAGATCCGCAAGAGAAGGAGATGGTGGGAACCTCGACGCTGCAGGACGGCTTAGGCTTGCCAGTCTGAGAAGGGTAGACAATGGTGACACTGGTGGCACCACCGCACTGGTCGTTCTTGACGACGGATCCCTTGTCGCTGCAAGAAGATCGCTGCTTGCACTTCTCACCGCCGGGCATGTCATAGTGGAACTCGAGGTCGCAAGAGAACTCGGGCTTCACGTGAATCTCACCAACGGAGAACTTGTCAGAGTCCTTGCCGGACTCGCAACCGAAAGAAGGAGAGGAGCTGGCGTCACTGCCGCAGACACCGCTGATGGCCTTGCTGCCAGTGCGAGGAGCGAAGCGACCAGCCTCACGCTTGCCGAAGCTGTCCTTGCAGGTCCAGCCCTTGAAGTTGAAGCCACCATAGTTGGAGAAGCTACCAGTGGGGAGATCATCCCAAGAGAAACCACCGCGCTGCTTGTCGGTGCATTGGTTGTCAGTGTTGGAAGGGCAGCTGAAGCTACCATAATCCTTGAAGCTGAAGCCCTATAAATCGGGTCAGTTTGTGCTCTATATAAGAGATGTAAGGCTGTGTGACTTACAGTGGCCGAGGCACCAGCGGCCAGGGCGAGGAGAGTGAAGGACTTCATTGCGGCGAGTGTATTTCCTGGACAGGCTGTCTTATAAAACAATCGAGTTTCGAAGTGGTTATTCTCAAGTGAGTGAGTGTGTTGTATGTATGTGATATCGGTCGGTTATACAGTTGCAGTGTTTGTGAGTTGTATACAGAGCGAACGATAGTGGAAAACGAAAGAACAGTATAGTATAGTTGAGAGCAAGGAAGCGAATGACTTGACTCTCGAGAATGGAAAAGATACAGCGATTGATAGAAAAGGAAAATAGACTAGATGGTCGAAGATCAGATCTGGAGGATGAGGATAGAGGAGAGAAGAGCACAAGAGGGTTGGACGAGGCGGCATCCTATATACGGCCTCGCCATCTTGAAGCTGGCCCAGCCTACCACCGAGCTCTGCAGGCCAGGCCGGGTGGTTTACTACGCAGTAGACCAGGTGAGGTCACACAAAGACAAAGCGCGAACGTGGCGCTGTGAACAAGGACCGGGATCATGGCCCCCATGTCCTATTCTTGCCTGCACTTGCAGTCAATCCCCTGCCCATGCTACAACACCCTTGGCCCCTGTGCCCCTGTCCTTGTTCACCCCACTGGAGTCTCGCTTTGTCTGTCTGAATCTGTCTTTCTTAGCTCCTGGGTGCGGCCGACAGGCGATGGCTGGAAAAGGCCGCTCAGGCTCTCGCTCTCAGCCAGTGGGACTGGGATGGCGACTGTGCGGGTGCTCCTGGCAGATTCGCAGCAGGGAGTCAGGAGCTGGAGATCCGGCCGGGACGAGGAGACCACTGGCTTTCCGACGTCGCCATTAGACTCAGGCTCCGACTGGAAGCTAGACTCGCCGACACGTGTGGTGGGCAAGAGACCATTGTTTCTCCCTTCTCTGCCGTCGGCTGGCGAGGCGGCAAGGGGGCGTCCATAGAGCAGCAGTTGTCGTTGGCAGAAGCAACAGTTCGGACCGCATAGTGAGGGAGTGAGTGGTTGTGGGAGCGTGAAGGTCCAAGGTCCAAGCCCCACCAGAAGGGGAGAGCTTCAGTGCTCGTGGAGCGGGCAACGTTGACTGGACGGCTGCTTGGTCCAGTGGAGACGCGCGGCTCCAAAAAGGCCAAACTGGGGCCGAAGAGCCACTCTAGCCACCAACCGGGGAGCTCCAGTGGTCGACCACTCGCACCTTCTTAGCCAGGGGCAACGTCCACCCGTTTTGGAAAGCACCCGTGCTCGGCCCCTGTAATCTATTCCAGGGGTCTCGGCTAGGCCTGTTACTGAGGTAGGAACACGCCCAGCTCTCGACCAATCGGTTGCAGTCGCTGTTGCCAAATACAGAAAGGCAAGATGCTAACTTGGGGAAAGTGCACTCCTCGTCAACAAATCTTCCGGCTTCCCGCTGCAGCCTCCAACTGACATTTTTTCTGATTATGAAATGAGATGGGCTGTTAAGTGACCTGCCTTGTGGCCTACGGCAACTGACGGCGGCTGCGTCGTTGTTCTTGGGGATCTCGAGTGCGTGAGTAGACAGGGTAAGTAAGCTGCAGTTGGATGCCAATTCAATGATTGTGTGATTACGACTATGACTCGAGTTGTTGCTGTAAATAGTGCAACAAAGAGCACAAGACATGCATTGCCTATTGACCCGGTTTCCATTAATACCCCACGCGTGTTTACTTGGAGGCCGCCCTTGCATAAAGGAAGCAAGCGCAATGAGCCAGTCGGTGAGGGGCACGATGAGGCGAAGGTGCGAACAAGAAGAAAAAGGAGAGGGAAAGGGCTGACAAAGCCTCCTTGCATAAAGAAAGCAGCCTTCACAGCCCGATCTCTCTCTTTGACTCTTCGCCTTTGCTACAATGCAGAACAAGGACAATCCAGGAAACGCCATTCTCTCCGAACCAGTCGCTCGACGGACGGCGCGGAATCGTGAGGGAAAGTGACAAGCAGCGATACATCTTGAAACAGCCTGCTACTGCAGCGACAGCCTCTGGGGTCCTCTGGGGGGGTTGCTTTTGGCGGCCCCTGGAACTGCTCAGCCACGACTGGTGGCATCGCGCTAATGCAGGAACCGGGAACTCTTTGCAGTGCGGATCCCCAGAAGCCAATGGATTCGGCCCATCTCGAAGAAACTGAAGACGACGATGAAGAGCTCAGGAACCCGAAGCCTGGAAGCTTGGAAGCTCCAAAGGCTCTGTCCATGTCCATCTCCCGCCGTGGTGCTCCACCGCTTTACCTTAGAGTAGTTAACCTTAGCGGAGTTGATATGCATTTGCTTCTGGACCCAGAAGGGAGAGGGGCCGTCTCTGTAGCCCTTGCAACATCATCCAAACCATCATCCATGATAGTACACTTGCCAGGAACACCAGATAGCTTCCACCACGAGAAAAGAAACCCCGCCAGTCTGATATCGACTCCCCTAAAGTGGACCATTTCATGGATTTGCTTTCCCTGCCCGATGGGGAGAGCGAACGAGGGAGAGTTCAGGGGACTGCTCGATGGCGTCCTGATGGCGCCCCTCGCTTCCCAGTGAAGCCATTCCCAGCTGGGATGCGCTTTGGGCCGAATCTTGGTTTCGTGTGGTGCCTTCCCGGATTCGACCATCTTTGCCCGGCGCAGAGTTCTGCATCCATCCAGACGTCGGCCAACCAGCCCATACACGTAAAGGTCGACGCTCAGGCCACGCTCCAGAGGAAAAAACTCGCTCGCTCGCTCACTCACTGAGGTGCCCACAGCGAAAGCTACCTGGGTCTTGAGAAAGCGCCTAGAGGCTAGAAGCCACGGAAGGTCAGTCGGATGTTATCCGACAAAGTCACCAGTCATAACAATTGTTATTCGTGTCTTTCGCTTATGAAGCTGTTCATTTCCACTCATCTCGCTCTGGCCTATTGCCAGTATGTGCATACGAGGGCCAATATTAGAGGCTCGTTAAGACAAGACCTGAGTGATGGCCCTAGCTCGGGCGGCATATGTATGAGGAGAATTGAGTTGAAGATCGCTGCGAGCCTCAGCTCAAGTCACGATGGGATGACTGATGAGCACTGAGCAGACCAATGGAAGAGGACCGGAGCCGACGGACAAGACGAAACGTGGGTGAGAGCGATGGATTCCTGGTTGGGGCTGCTTGGTCTCCCGACACCATGTTTCACGTTTCAGCCACCGGCACCCTCCTGCAGCCGTTAGCAGGGGTGCGGTTTTGGACCCCGAAAACGGTTAGCATTCCAGTTGCTAAGGACTTCTAGACACTTCACGAGGCTGATTGAGCTCGATATGTATAACAGAACAAAAAATACTGCACATCATCTTGCCATATATGTCTATAAACTGTTCTTAGTCTCGAATCGACTCCAGGTTCTAATATTTAGATACTTGAAATGATTGCAAACAACTCACAACTACTTGTGAATTAAAGGTTAATCTCGTAGCTTTCAACTGTCAACTACGGGAGGCTCGAGCACAGCGCCAAAGGTCAACTCAGATTTAGCCATATGGTGGGTCCACCACTAGACAACTCGAGAAGACTTTACGCTGCTATACCCACCTCCCACATTGTAGACATGAGTTGGTCCGTGAACGGTGCACTTTTTCAGGTGTCTCGTACCGAGAATTCGAGACGGGCGTGCAACACTCTTTCCAAGTGCCCAAGCAGTCTCTTTTGTCGCATTCGCGGCCAACAGCGAACCAATGGTTAAGGTGCTCAGATTTCATATGTACTTTAATAGCAATCTGAGCTGTACCTTCTTGCCGCCCTGTCCTTATCAATCAGCACGCTGCAACTATCAGACGTGTAGATCTTTTCCTAGATATCCCAGAGCGATACGATGTGAATCCTTGGATCCAGAAGAGTCCAAGATATCAACAGCCCTGTTCCTGGGACGAATGCGTTTCCCATTCTGGAGGACGAACCCTTGACTGTGTAAAAGGCAGTTAGCCTGAAAAGGTGAGGGTGATCGACGGTTCGCCTTCCCAACTCGGGACCCGGCACCAACAGCTTGGAGAGATGAAATTAAAAGCTCGAGCGCACACGCACGAAAGGGGGCATGACTGAACTCACCCACTGATCGCAGCACACCTTGCGTGCATCTTGTCGATGTGCTCCAGTGTGCTCCATCAATACTCGACCGATTTGGTTATTTGATCGAGCATCCGCGTACGCGTACCCACCTCCCACCGTCCAACTTGGTCAGGTCACCAATTTCCGGACTGCGATGGCTACGACAGCATCGCATTACTCATACATGACTGTGAGCTGTTTGGCCATGTCGGCCCACAGGTTGAATGGGAACCTGAGCCGGATCTTCGGCCTCCCAGGGCTCCAGCGGCCTTCCCCTGCTCGAGCTTCGAGCCCCATCACTGTCGTATTCTCTCGTCTGCTAAGGGCAAGCATGTCACGTACCACAGGATGCTCCCACCTCGCGCTGTAACCTTCACAGATGCGCTTCTCCCAGGGCGGGAAAGGGGAGTCTGCGTCGGCGCTTTGTGTTGTTTCGAGTTGATGTGCTTCGCCTCTCTCGTGCGCGCTGGTCTTTCGTCGATGAGCCCGCTGAGTGGTTTGCAAGTGAGTGGACTCTCGTAAGTAATTAATCTATTGCCATGCGGGAATCATGCAGGTACTCGGGACATTTCCAAGTGAAAATCTCCGTGATGGCGGAAACTGCCGTCCCTGACATGGCGGTGCTGGCAGCATTCTCTCACCAGAGCTCTCTTGACATTCTATACTAGACGTTACCACAATGAAGTACATAGCATCCACGCAACATGTTTCTTGCAAGCACATCTTGAGTGGTTACTAGCTACGTTCAATCCTCTATACCAGCATGAACATATCAACTCCATAGGGCCCGGCAGCCCGGACAGCATAATCGCAAATCCCAAGTCTTCCAAGCGGAAGATCTCCCCGCTGCTGCGGCTGTCACATAAAACACCTTCACTGCCGGACTGCGCCTCCATTATGCTTAAGCCGTCCGAAGGACAATGGATGTTGCTTGTGCTTTGTGCTTGTCCCGGGACGAAGGGCGGTGCAGGGCACATCTTTCATGCGTTTCGACCTTAGTTCTCTCTTTGCTTGTCTTGCAGTGCGCGGTTTCAGCCAGAAGGGACAGCCCGGTCAGGGAGAAGCACGTGCCATGCGTCTGAAGCTGGGTGGTGGTAGTCACCGCCGGTGGAGGAGTTCACCTGAAGCAGGGCGGTGCTTGTCTCGTCGCACGTTTCGCAATACGAGGGGCCAGCCCCTGAAGAGCGGGACCCTCCGACACACTCCGCCGGGACCACAGGAGGTGGCTCAGCGAAAGACCGGAGAACTGCCGGGCGGGCAGAGCATGATGTTGCCGGCGCAAACCTCCGATGACCTCCTCCGGTTGGCGGTATCCTCAGCATAATTCTGGGCCGTGCCGACGAGTGGTTGTGGTCGGCCTAAACCGGTACAAGTCGATGCACTGGAGTCGCCATATAACTGTTAGTAGTCTATGCAAGTCCCGGGTCTGCTATAGGATATGTGCAGCATCACCTTAATAGCATCATGACCAGTGTAATGATCATGTACTATGCTTCATGCAGCAGTGGGCTGCCTCCGCCATCATTGGATCCTAGAGACAGCGTATCGCCTGCTAATGGGAGATGCACGTAAACTTCATTGTAGTAATTCTTTCAGATTCTAGAGGGCACTCTGAGAGACAACATGCCGAGCATTGGTATCATTGGCATCGACGACATCTCAACTGCTACCTTGCATCCTGCGTAATCTCTCCTCCGCTGCCCTCGCCCGCCTCTCCCGTTCAAGCTTTATTCTCTGATCAGTCGTCAGCCCCCTAGCTTCCTCCTGTCGCCTCTCCTCGGCGCTCTTCTGGATACCGCCACCAAGCACGCCCCCTTTTCTTCCTGAGCCTTGGCTATTCACCTTGGGGCCCTCCCTCTTCAATCGCTCCTCTTCCGCCCGCCGCCTCTCTGCCTCTTTGCGATCAGCCTCCTTTCGCTCCCGTTCGTCCCTCTTTTCTGCTTCTTCTCGCTTCATAGGAGCCGGCACCTTTGCGACCTCCCAGTCCCAAGTGGTCTCGCCCAGCTCTTGCCGTGCTACGCGGAATGCGTCACGAGTGGCTCTGTCCCCGGCCAGTTCAAATGGTAGTTTACCCTCGTCATTTGCCAGTGTGGGATCAGCACCACCACGCGTTAGAAGACCTGTGACCAGGGGCGCAGAATTCTGTGCAGCTGCAAGATGTAACGGTGTAGGGGCGTGGTGATTCGCATCAAGCGGCTGGAAACGGAATGTTGGTGGAAGGGAGTTGGTCTTGAGGTAAGAGAGGAGAGCTGGAAGCTTCGATCTTCGTATTAGAGCTTGTAATTGTGTTGTGTGTAGTTGTGCAGTTTCCTCCTCTTCCGACAACTTCGGTGCCGCCGGCTTCACAGGTTTGTTGGGTGTTTGTGGCTTGGCTTTCTCATCGATAGCCGTAGATGGATCGACCGGGACTATCTCACGGACTTTCAACCGGGTGAGCTCGATGAATGATCGCATTAGTTCGTTCTGGGTTGCTCGCCGTGTGCTGAAAGGGAATCCTCGGAGGCGGGGATCGCTTGCATTCAGCACCTGGCCATCATATGGCCCAAAAAGAGTCCGACGATTGGTAGCACCTGTCGCCCGAACGAATAGCAGGTCGGACGTGTCGAGAAGACCTTTCCAGTCTTGAAGAAGCTGCCTTACATCATCTACCAAGGCTTGCTCGTTGTAGCGACGCAGACTTGAACCTGCCGAATGGGCATTTCCCTTCGCATTGTCGTTTGCCGACTGCGAACCACCCTGTTTCCTCCTCGTAGTGTATCTGTGAAATGTTTTGTGGGCCAGGACCGTTGCTTCTCTATTCATCGGCCCAGCGGATGAGCTCTTGACTTGTCTCGGTGCAAGTGACACGACCATAGCAGCAAAGTGGCCGCCTCCGATCATGCATAGGAAGATGTATGGTCCCTTGTATGCTATCGGGGGAAGAGTTCCATCTTTCGCAACTTTCGGTAGCGCTAATGGCGGTAATTGTCTCTTCTTGATGGCCTCGAGAATGTCTTCTTCCTTTGCCAGCTCTTCACTCGTAAATATAGTCCTGTAGATTCCAAAATATGTGTTTTCGGGCAGGACGGGTGAACCGAACCACATCAACGGAGGCTTCCCCGTTCCGCGTTTCTTCTTTCTGCCCCATTCTTCCTCTTCTTCATCGCCATCTCTGGTATTATTTCTCCCCGCGAGCGTGGCCTGCTTTTTGAGGAGAGCGCTTAACGTCGTCTCTTTGCGCGAGGTTTCATCCTCGTCATCATCTGACTCTGACGGGTCTGAGCCCGACAAGCTCTCGTCCAGGTTACCCAGTAGCTTCTCAAACTCCGTCTCAGACACAGACTTTTGGCCGCGCAGCTTCTGCTTAAGGTTGTAGTGGTGGAGATCCGACTTCTGGTGGCTCCTCTGGTCTAGTACCGTCGCAAAGGAGAGACCGCATAATGAGCAAGCTTGTGATCCTACAGCGCTCTCGACTGTGGGTGTCTGTGGCCGCTCCTTTGGGGTGTCGGGTATTGATTCGGGTTCTTGCGACTCTGTATCTGTTTTGCGCGTAAGGGTTTCTAGAACTTCCGGAGGTAGGTCGTAGACTGGCTTGCAGTTAGCGATCGACAGGTCGCAAGAATGCCCCGCGCATAAATACCGTAGAGCGGCCGCCGAAGCAGATCGTCCTGTTTCTTGTCTGGTTTCTCCATATCAGCGGCCTCTAAGGGCTTCAGCTCAAAGGCTTGGGATCTTGGTAGCTCTTTGTGCAGTGCGCAGTAGTCGAATGCCTCGAGAGACTGTTATATAGGAAGGCCAGCGTAGTGCATTGCCAGGGAGCTAATGCAGAGCTCTCGGTATGACTGATGACATCTAGCGGGCACTGCCCAGGTAGATGGCGGGGCACAATGGAGCCCTTAGGCTTATCGCCCGATAGGCTAAAAATTGATCCGTCTCAGTGTTCTTGTGCCAGGGTTAGGGTTGGCCCCTTTTCAAAGTGCCCCTTTCAAAGATCATAGATCATATTAGCCACAAAGTAGCTGTCACTATAGCTGGCCAGCCGTTCATTAATGGCTACTAATGATAGGCTATGCTGCTGCTCCTTGGGAGAGGCAATGGACACACAGGATCTTACTCATCCATACGCGCACAAGGCTCCCAGGGGTAGATGAGTCCGCATCTAGGTGTTGCAGTCAAAGCCCTATAATGGTTACAACGCATCAATGAAGACGTCGTGCGGGAGCAGGCGCGGTGAAGAACGCTAGTGATTGACACAAGGAAGATGCTCTGGATGATGTTGCTGAGTACAGAGCATTCCCGCAGCTTGTCCAATGCAAACATTCGAAATGACAAACTGTCCCGAAATGGTCTCATAAAACCTGTTGTCAGCGTTTCTAGGACAGCAATACAGGTATCCTTAAGACATATAATTCATCAAAAGTATAGCTATTGGCCGGTAAGTTGGTAACAAAGAGCGAATACAAGAGCATCATGGTAATTTCAATCATAGGATGCTGCATAATGGTCTACAGCTCGGTGAGAGCTTGGTCAATGGGTATCTAAATGCAACCGGCCGCTTCTTGTACTGCACCGCCGGGGTAAAAAACATTAGCCCTTGAAAAGTAAAGATACTCGATGTTGAGAGTCATAATACTTGACAAGCTCTCGAATATTCTGTTTATCAATTTTGGTCTATCGACTTCCACAGAGGTAGTAACTCCTTGTTAAGAAGGTAATAATATCCTTGCCAAACTAACATGTATTACCTGGCGGAAGAGGATAGCCACAGTGGTGATATAAGAGAGAAGGAGTGAAGTTTGATAGAAAGTTTTTAGTTAGCAATAAGCAGTATATATTGAGAAGCATGGCCAGATTTGCTGTGTTCATCAGAAGGAACCATAATCAGTATTGGTGAGGCACACTTATGGAAAAAATGACGGAAATCTTTTTGTAAGGTACGATCTGCATGATTGCCTTGATCTCTTTGCTGAACTCACTCTAGCATTGGCGCGGCAGGGCACATGGGCGCAGCTGTCGTGGATAAGCTTGTGAGCAAGCATCTAGACGTTAAGATTATGGCTTTATTTCGGTCTGAGAACATAGTAAAGCAATATTTGAAACGCTTTCCATCTGTGAGAGTGGCGGTCGGTGACCACAGTAGTTGGAGCTTCATTAGGCAGTGCGTTAGGGACGCAGGCATCGTCATCAGTATGTTCCTCAACCATGTACTCAGTTCCATACGTTAACCTTGGACTCGAGATACGGCTCCAGACGTCTATAAGGAGATCACGGGCGTCGTAGCTCGCGGTTTTAGATTGCGGAGAGGTTAGAATTATTATATTCACACATCTGGTCCTGAACAGGTTTGGAGCGGACCATCCGGCGACGCTAATCCCAAAGTCTGGGACGATATGGCCGACATTACGCACATCGAGACTTTCCTCGAGGAATCATATCCAGTGACACTGATGCACATGTGAGATTATTCGCTCATAAAATGAACATTGCCATCATCCCCCCAGCTTGGGTCCACGGAGTCAGCCCATCTCCTGAGCGCCCCGTTACTCGAATGATATCCGACACAGTGTTCGCCATGCGCAAGGTAGACGAGGGCTTCATCATATGCCGCGGTGAGAACATTCAGACCTGGGTGCATGTAGATGATCTCGCGAATATGTACCTTGGCCTCGTGGAAGACGCGCTCAAAGGGCCAGCGAAGGCGAACCCTATGCTCTGGGGTGATGATGCGTACTACTTTGCCGGGGATGAGGAGTTGACATGCCGTCAATACGCGCAGGCGATCCTTCCGTTGGCATTGAAGCATAGCTTCGTACATAATAACTCAATCAAGTCGATTCCGGCAAGCATTCCGAAACCAGATCTGGAATAGCCGGATGGTTGGGCGCACCTAGGGAACTTAGGAATTTACCTTGCATTTGGCGCGAATATGAGGTGTCGAAGCGTACGAGCGGCAGCATTGCTGGGCTATAAGCCGCAGCAGAAGGTCTTGTTGAATCGTTGTCCGAGATGCTGGATTTATTGCCCGAGAAGGGGTCATTGTCAGGACCTAAAGACCTCTTTCACGTCCGAAAAGTTGCTGGAGAGTCCCGCCGCGGTTTCGATGAACGTCATCATTCTATATTACGGCCGCTCAGAATGTTAAAGGAGAATTGCTTCGATCAGGCGTAATCCTATCTATACTTTGGCTCATTCAACCAATTAATCGTCAGATCTGGCCGCGGCCTTTCTCTTGTGCCATGCTCTTTGATAAGCAGACTCTTGACAAGACTAATGCCGGACCGCGTCGATTCCTTCGTGGCGATCTTTTCAGCGCGAATCACTAGCAAGAAGTCATGCAATTAGTTCGTTTCCTTGAACGCATAAAATGTCTGATCTGCTCCATGCATCGGGCGGTCGGCTACTTGCTGTAGCCGAAATACTTCATACTACGGGCATATGAAAATTCTTAGTGTTGATTTGATAGAACCGTGAACAACTGTTCCGAGAAGTATCTCCCAGTTTTTCCAGGAACTTTGCATAAATTATAGTATGCCTTGGCCCATGTCTGTTATCATCGAACAGCCTCGGCCACATATGGGGCGCTGATAGACACCGGTAAGGAGAAACGATTCATGCGGACGGGGGCAGTTGCCAATGGTTCTGATCACACGTTGTCGCTGACAAAGGTTGAAGGATGGAAGCGGTCATCAAAAGACAAGCTCCGATACCGCAACTTCTAGTAGAAACTCATGTGGCTGTCCCTGTTGTGAGATCTTGTTCGCGATGCTCGCAATATGTACCGTTATCTAGGCTGTTTGCTCGTGACGTACACACATGCCAAGGGCAACGCCGATATTGATCCGAGGAGCGCAGGCCCCGTAGGAAAGTTGCTCCAGATTGATTTCGTAAGAGACAGTAGTGGGCGCGCAATATGTGTCAAATAGACCTCGAAAATTTGCGTGACGTCTTTTCCATTGAGCACTAGCTCCAGACGCGGCCCCATATTTTTCGGAGGGGACACGGAGAAGTGGGTCACAATCAACGCCGTATTGCCGGTCGAGTCCCCACCCGGTCGCAGAGGCCTTGTTGTTTCGAGATAATGTCTCGCCGTGTTCACCCATGGAACCGGTTCTCTAGTCGCATTCCCAGGAGCTGAGCCAGGGGCAAATATGCCCTAAATCTGCGCCGGAATAATCCGCGAAGCTTAATCGCGCCCTATGGGGAGCAACGAAGCATCATGAATGGCTCAGCTGCCCCAGAAAGCTGTCTCTCATGCGCAGTGGCTCATGCGTGAATGACGGGACTTGAAGATGAGATCCTCACTTGCGTAGCTTTCGACTGCTAAGCTACGCCACGTGGTTCCCACAGAAAATAATTGCAAGCCCATCACCGAATCCCACGCCCAGTCCGAACATGGCCCATTAGGCACAGCTGGTATCGAGCTGAAGCCCTACAGAGATAATAATCGAGAACATGATTGGAGGACAGCGGTGATGCCGTAGGCTCGCGTCGCTCACTGCCCAGTTTTTTAGCGAACAGGGCTTGCATCATACCCACTAGAGCCAATTTCGGCAAACTGTTTTGATCACGAAGGCGAAAAACTCTCAGGTACAGGACATGATACATACGTGTACCGTTCTGAACATTCAGTACAGTTGTAAAACAGCTAGGGCCTTCTGGCGTGGTCCCATAATTCTTTCACCACAGCTGGGCGTAACTTGAAAGACATTGCAAAGAACGAGATCGTTCCTGAGATGCCCGACTCGCTTGGCTTCCACTTGATTTGCATATCGCGAAATAATTTCCTGTGAACATTCTCACAGATCCACAAGTCGGCACGATTATATCCGTCAACTATCGAGTCTGTGACGGCAGGCCAAATAACGCTTCTGAACCCACCTTGCAAATGCCGACACTGATGCCGTTGCCGATATCGCTTAGGAGAAGCATGAGATAACGCTCAAAATGAGCTCTGTACGGGACGGTACAGAGCGACCGCTAATGTGAAATCCACGAGTAGAGAAGAAGCATCACAAAGAAAATCTCGCTGTGCAGAAGACCGGAATGCCTGGTTGCAATGGCATTCAGCCTCCAGACAAGACACCCACCGTGATATCTTGGCGTGAGATTGAATAATAGGGCACCTAGGTGGTCCGCTCTCGCTGGAGTGAAACCGCCAGGCATATCATAGATGTTCATACTTCACTTGCTCCAGATAACATGTACAAACGTATATCACATAGTATCGCAAAGGATAAGGATAAAATGAGACTTTCTAGGTCTTTGGGCGCAATTAGAGCTCGTTGCAAGAAGCTGTGTCCTCGTGTGGGAAGTGCCTGAAATCTGCAACAGTGCCGTCCGCCACTGGCGGTCCCCCCAAAGGCAGCTTGCTCCGGCCGTCCAAAACGGCGGACCAAGATCGGTAGCGACCGAGGAGCCCTTCCGATTCCAAAAGTGTTTCTAGTCAGTCAGCACTAAGGAGACTGACGTCAAAAGGAAGGCAGCCAGTAAGCAATCTCCTAAATCCCATTCTTAAGACCGCGATTTAATGCGTTGTCTTACAGTGCCTGCATGTAGAATTTAGGGCCTCTAGTAGATGGATGAGCGGTGGGATTTGGGCTCAGCATTGGCATTTCACCCCTGTGCATCGGAGACGGTGCTGACTTCAACACCGGGGAAGAGGCCATTATCCCCTAGTGGCGGATCTTTCGCG